TAATACGTAAGATAAAAATAACAAACGAAAAATTTACAGACATAAGATTGGCTGTTATTTAAAATGATACATGATACAATGTTGGTATAAATACTAAAACGGCGTTCCATATTTCCGTGTCAACTTCCTTCCCATACCGATTGTTTTAACTTCTTTAATACTTACGATTTTTCATATACAGTGTGTTCGACATAAGAGACTCACCTCAATATCTCTTTTATTTGGGGAAATTCAAAAAAATGAAATATAATTTTGCATGCGATATCACGATCTATCCGATCGCATATTGAAACTTCCTGCATAACTTCCGGTTAAACAATGCAACTTCTAATTTTGAAATGCAATCCCTATGTTTTTTAAGATCTTTGAGAGCAACGCTGCACAACACCATCAAATAGGCGTATAGTTCATATATACAAAAAAAAATGGAGACATTTGTGATTCAATATTTGGAAAACTTATGAAATCTAGCATGCCGTGTGCTGTCAGGATGCGTGGTGGTTCTTTTCAAATATCTCAAAAACATAGGTAGACATTGCATTAATTGCAAAAGAAAACTTGCCCCCAAATTCCGGCCAAATCAGAGGTGAAGCATACGCGATCGGATAATCAAAATTATATTTGGCAAATTTTTCGTATCTCGCCAATTAAAAGAAATATTGAGGTGCCCATCTTATCTCGAACACACCATATATGAAAAATAATAAATAAATTTTAAGAAATGACAAACATGTATGTAACAACGATAATTAGCGAACGCGAACTTCAATATAATGTAGTAAACACGATCGGGAACACAACATTCAGTTAAAATACGTATACGGTCAATCGAGCTCTGGGTGGGGGTCCATAGAGAGGTAACATAGCTTGGGTCTTCTGGTGTTAATAAATGGTATTTGAAAAAAATAGTCCAAAACATGTTTTTTTCAAAAATCCGGCAGCAGAAAGGAATCTGCTATCCCCTCCACTTTTTATGACGCTACGCTTAGTGTGCTGTGATTGGCTGCGCTATTTTGTGGCGGTAAATTAAAATTTTTGAATTTCCGGATGTCTGCTATTTTGTAGCGGTAAATTTGAATTAGTGCGGGAGCTTTTTAAATTTCTGGATGTCTGCCTTTAACTGCGGTAAACTTAGAATTTGTGCGGTAGACTTGAATTTTTGAATTTCTGATTGTGGCGTCACCCAGTGGGGATTTGTTGGTGTTACAAGAATCGGAAATATAGTTTTCTGTAATTAGCATCTACTAATGATTCATAATTACAATTAACTCCAAAGTTAAATCGTTTGTCAATGAGCTTCGCTTTTACATAGTAACTACATTCTTAATTATGTTTGCAGTTATTAATTATTACCTATTTTGAAAACAGTAATGTATACCTATGCAATATTTTCCTTTTGAATCTTTTGTTAGAAGTTTCTTAATTTTATTTAATTTGAACTATCCTCATCTGAATAATATCATGTTCTCCCAAACAAGAAGCGAAGAATTTGAATTTTTGAACAACAATAATAATCCAATTTCAAGACAAAAATATAAAAGAACAAGAAAAAATATTTTTAGATGACCAAAGAAAAAATAAGTTCTTTAATTACAAATTCATTATCGACTGTGATACATTATTGTTCCTTTGATAAATATCTAGAGTGATGTACGTCTCTTAGGCTTCTTGTATTCATCCTCGCGATAGTAAACCACGGTGGAATGATAAAGCCACTAACAGCTCAAATTAATCTTGGAAATGCGAAATAGTTATTGGTACGGCAACGAAGCATTTTCAATTGATCAAAGTGACAATTAATTAATGGCGTAGATAATTTTATATACCTTAGCCAATCTGAAACAATAACAATAACACGTTGATAACACTAAGATACTACACGAATAGACATTACTTAAATACCTTTGCCGCCATCAAGGTTTTAAAAGTTTAGGAAAGTGTTTGAAACACTCGTCAAATTTTTGTGTAAGTACTTGGATTTTCTGTTCGTCTGGTTTCATAATTGGGGTACGCCCCTATGTATAACTATCATTACACTCTGTATATTTAATTTCACATATACCGACACACACGATTCAATTTGGTCTTATCGGAACAAAATGGCCGACCAGTTAACGACCTATTGGCACCGGTACAAAGACATATAACTATCCTTAAAACCTGTATATTTAAATTTCACCATGTATACATCTTTCGCAACTCCCTGTAGGTTTATTTTTGAATTTCACACCACAACGCTATTTCATAACTCAGTCACTAGATGCTAATTACAGGAAACTATATTTCCGATTCTTGTACCAACAAATCCCCACTAGGTGACGCCACAATCAGATATTCAAGAATTCAAATCTATCGCACAAAATGGCCGACATCCAGAAATTCAAAAATTCGCACAAATTCCAACTTATCTCTACAAAATGGCCGACATCTGGAGGTGTTGCGATAAAAGGATAAATAACTATAGGACTGTACAGACGGAAAAATATTTCTCAGATTTATAAAAAATTGCCTTTTTAATTTATAAAAGTTAAATTTGGCGACCGTGACAGGACCCCTAAGAAGTATTTCTTAGCTTTTCGAGGTTGATCATAGAAAAGGCACGGTTAACTTTGCGTGTATCCTACACAAAAATGTGCGACTAATAAGAGACCAGAAACCTTCATTCCAATTGAAAGCAGCATTGAATCTACAGAACCGGCATCTCGGGCACGTGGAGTTATTGAAAGTTTTCATCCAATTTCAGAAAATTATCCGAAAGCCTTCCTTTTGGCAGAGAGGATCTACTTATAGAAATATAATACGAGAACTTCTGTGGATAGTGACGTCTGTCAATTTGACATTACCTGTCTTGAATGATAAACTAAAATGTCAGATTCGTTCTTTGCAATCTCTTGGAGTGACTACCCGAAAAGATACTACCTGTTTGGTAGAGAACGAATGAAACGATGAAAAACAACTTCGTTTTCAGAAAAAGGCATGTTTTGTCTGTTTAATCCCAGGTCATACCGTACGTAGATGTAAACTACGTGCAGTAAATGTCAGAAAACTGTAATATCCAAGTGTCATCAATGAATGACACGTGCCAATTTTTGAACAGTACGTTACTTATACATTTCAGTCTTTACGCTTTCGTTTTGTCTAACTTTCCATACATATTGTTTTAACTTATTTTATACTTACGATTTTTCATATACAGTGTGTTCGAGATAATATGGTCACCTCAATGCCTCTTTTATTTGGTGAGATTCGAAAAAAGTGATCAAATATGATTTTGTATGAGACATCACGATCTATCCGATCGCATATTGAAACTTTCTGCATAACTTCCGGTTAACCCGGAAATTGATGCAACTTCTAATTTCTGCTATCCCCTTCTTTTTTTACGTCACACGTAGTGTGCTGTGATTGGCTGCGCCATTTTGTGGCGGTAAATTTAAATTTTTGAATTTCCGGATGTCTGGATTTTTTTAAATTTAGGTATATTTTGTTTATTATTTAATTTTGGTAACGACGTCATTTGTAATTAGAAACTGTGCGTAATTTCTCGTAAATATTCTAATAGTGGCCTGGTGCCGTACTCGGAAAATTGTTTTAATTATTTTTGCGGTGTCTTTGTATAATATACTGCTTTTAAATGCCAAACAAAAAATTAATTAAAACAAGTGTAGATGAAAGAGTTATTATTTACCGTGCGTCCAATTTTACATGCGTCCTAATATCCGCGTCCTTTTGTCATAGATTCACATCCGGAAATTCCAAAATTCAAATCTCCTGCACAAATTCAAACTTACCTCTACATAATGGCCGACATCCGGAAATTCAAAAATTTAAATGTCCCGCACAAATTCAAATTTATTCTTCAAATTTACCGTCACAAAATGGCGCAGCCAATCACAGCGCAGCACGTGTGACGTCATAAAAGTGGACGGGATGCTAGATTCCTTTCTACTTGCGGCAGGTGAATTAAGTTAGCACGGTATCTCCAAAATATTTGACTCATTTTGTGCTGACTCCACAAGTGTTGTGCGTCTTTCGTCTCAAAGAAAGTCAACATTTTTTGTCGGTGGTCCAACTTAATGCTAAACTGATATATGCGCTGAGGCCATTTGGGCGCATTGTTTTGAAGCAAATTAAAATTACTGTTGGAGGTTGCAACTTAACGCAACGCTCCTTATTCTCGAAATGCTTGTTTCGTGAAAATTTGTGCGTCCATCATCAGTTCTAAAAAACATTTTTTGTTTGGTTGGGGATGTTGGGGTAATCTTGTAGGTCTTTGTGGTATGTATACCGGATTATACTGAAAACTTTGAACAGAAGCAAAACATTGATAAACCTTTACTGTTTGAGATTCAAAGCTGCACACTTATCTTACAAACGCTAGCTAACCTGTCAAAAACAGTACCACCCCATTAACAATGAGTACAAGTTTTCCTCCGATTTCAGAAAATTATCCAAAAGCCATAGAAGCGTTGAAAAATCGTTTTGGCAGAGAGGATCTACGTATAGAAATGAATATACGAGAACTTCTGTGTTTAGTGACGTCTGTCAATTTGACATTACCTGTCTTGAATGATAAACTAAAATATCAGATTCGTTCTTTGCAATCTCTTGGAGTGACTACCCGAAAAGATACTACCTGTTTGGTAGAGAACGAATGAAACGATGAAAAACAACTTCGTTTTCAGAAAAAGGCATGTTTTGTCTGTTTAATCCCAGGTCATACCGTACGTAGATGTAAACTACGTGCAGTAAATGTCAGTAAACTGTAATATCCAAGTGTCATCAATGAATGGCACGTGCCAATTTTTGAACAGTACGTTACTTATACATTTCAGTCTTTATGCTTTGCATGAATCAACAATGAGGCACGATGAATTTATTAAATCGGTCAGCTTTGTATCCAAGTTAATCTGGCATGGAATGTTTTGTTGTGGATCGTCTTTATTTGTTTTTATTACATATGCTGTTAATAATTAATTGTTATAAAAACGATGGCTAAAGGTTGCAGATTGATTTTCAGGTGGTTTGGAATGTGAACTCCAATTTTTTCATGATCAAAGGTTAACACATCTATTGCCAAGTTGCTAACGACTAATTAACCTAACGATAAATAATGGGATTAGTTTGCTCAATAATTTCCTTTCAAGGATATGTCATAAATGAAATTGATACGCATTTAAAATTTAAAATAATTTGGGGTTCAGAGGCTGCGTTTCCTTCCAAAGCCAACTTTTAGCGTGCGGACCTAAAAGCGGGCCAATCACATCCCGGCATTTTTTATGAAAGTCGTTTATCTGTCGAATTTCTTGGTCGGTCAATAGATCAACGTTAATCAACTTCGTTTGCTTCGGCACCAACGTTAGCGTCTCAAATGTCAGATACTCCCCGTTGGCATGCGGTGTCGGAATCGAGACGACCAATACCAAATCTTCAATGCGTACGCCAAACTTGCCATCTTGATAGTATCCGGGTTCGTTTGACAATATCATCCCTTCGACCAAACCGGGATCGTCAGGCATTGGTTTGGAGGTTATTCCTATAGGACCCTCGTGCACGTTCAGATAGGACCCAACACCGTGTCCGGTACCGTGCGCGTAGTCCAAACCGCGCTCCCATAAAAACTCGCGTGCAAAAGAATCCAAGTGGTCACCCTTGAGGCTCTTCGGAAACACAGCCCTTGCAAGTTTCAGTTGGCCCTTTAACACCCTTGTAAAGCATTCCCGCTCAAACTCAGTGGGTGCGCCTAAATGAATGGTACGCGTGATGTCGGTCGTGCCATCTTTGAACTGGGCGCCGGAATCGCACAAGTATAACGCGTCCATTGTAATCGGGATGTCGGTTTCGGGCTTGGGGGCGTAGTGAATGATCGCGGCGTGGTCACCCACGGCGCTGATTGTGTTAAAGCTGAGCGACACGAAGTCTCTTTGTTCCGACCTTAGCTGCGTTAGTTTGTGTGCACCGGATATTTCCGTTACAACTTGCTCTTGAACGGCTTCCTCTAGCCACGCGAAGTAATTGCAGACTGCTACCGCATCTTTAATGTGGGCATTTCGCATACCGTGGATCTCAACGCTATTTTTCACGGTTTTTAACAATGCGCACGGCGTGGCCCCCATCTTCAGTCTTTTGGGCGGAACGAGACTGGTTATAAAGTACTTGGCGTCGTTAGAGAACCAAACCAAACCACCCTGTATGGCATCAATCGCCTGACGCACACTGCACGCAATTGCGCTGTATGGGCGAATGTCGAACACAGCTCCAGGTGCTTCCACTTTGAAATGTGCCATAAGATCGGGGGTTGTTTGCTGGGGATGGATAAATAAAGTTACCGAATTCTCCACAATCATTACGAATGAACGAAAAACGGGCGTGTACCCCAAATCGCTTCCTCTCAAATTCAACAGCCAGGCGATCTCATCTAGTGCAGTTAGCATTAGTATCTTCACGTTAGTCCTCCCCATTCGGGCGTAGACCTCGTTTAGTTTGTTGGCGATAGTACTGCCGGTATACTCGAGTTCGAGAGGAACGATTGGATTTCGTACAATCGGTGGCCGATCGGTCCATATCAAATCGACTAGGTTCGTCTCGACGGCAACCAATCGGTGGTCGTAAATATCGAGCTGATTCTTCAACCTTGTCCATTCACTTTGACCGATCACCTCTGGGTCAACACCGATGTAGGAACGTGAAGGGAGGGTGCTAATCAGCCATTCGCCTAAAAATATGGTTCAATTGTACTCTACCAAACCAAATGAAACGTAAAGTCACTAGATATAGAAAGTACCGCAATCATCCGCAATTTTTGGGCAAATTTGCTGCCAAATTAAAAAAATTGACAAATAAAATCTGAATAGCTGTAATTTTTTATAACCTAACTTCATAGTACTGTCATGTTTTATAATAGTATATTATATACCGCGGGACTGAAGTAGTACTTTTAATCCCGAAGGTGAAGTTTATGGCCCGACCGAAGGGAGGGCCATAATTTACCTGAGGGATTAAAGGTGGGTTCATAGCTCTCCGTTCTTACGTTTCCGTTTGTCCGTTAGCCAATCAGAAGACAGCAAATTTTTAAATCGTACGTCGTCCGTTTACGACGGAAAAGTTGGTTGAAGTTGAACATTTACGTTTCCGTTGTTCCGTTTTTAACAAGAGTGAGGTTATGTTTGGTACGTTAACAGCCGTTCGCCTATTCGTTCTTCACGGTAATAATCAGATAGCAATGTGCTCTTACTTTCGTACCATTTTTACATACTGAAAATCACGGAGGGTACAGTACAAAATAAAATTTAGGTTATGGTTATACGTTGCAAATGTACAATGTGGACGGATTGCTATGAACCTTAATAAAATGCATTATCCGTTTGACAGACCAACGCAACGGATGAACGGAGAGCTATGAACCCACCTTAAGACCACTACTTCAGTCGCAAGGTATATACGATATTTTTCGTACTTCCGAAACCAAAACACTTAATATGTATGGAGTTAGAGAACGCGTTTTTTCAAAAAATCGCTGCTTAACAAGTTACCATAGGAACGTTGCGTTGGTATGACAATCCCTATGCCATGGTAACAAAAATAATTTGGAAACTGTCATTGCTAGTGAGTGTCATAATTTTGGTGGTGGGTGACAAAGGTGTATTTGATATTGATAAAAAGCGGCCAAAGTATGTAGTTAAAGAATTGATACCACCGGAATCCAAAAAAACTATATGAGCAGCAGTACGATGCGTTTAGGAAGTAGTACCGCATACAAAATGTGGAACAACCTACTGAAATTGCCTTGTTAGTAATTTCATCCTTCCGGGATTTTCGTCTAAATTTAATCCCGGCGGGACAAAAAGTGACACTTCAGTACTTGTCATAATGGAGTGAAGTTGTTACTTTAGTCCCGGAAGTACGAAAAAATATATACAGATTTCTCCAAACAGGTGGAACAATCCCTAACATTAAAGTTACTAGAATCTGGTAATTTCCGCCATTTTTGGGCAAAAATCATGCGTTCTCTCTCTAACACACGAGCCTAATGGATTGCGGTACTTTCTATATTTAGTGACTTTAATGAAACGTACCCTGAGTAGGAGTCGATGCTAAACCTTCCTTCATTAGTGTCCAGTTTGAATCCATTTCCTGCGTTGCTTGTAGAAAGTAGCGTCCGTCGGTCCACACGCAGGCATTTTCAAGCGTGATAACTGCACTTCCTGCACTTCCAGTGAAACCGCTAACGTAAGCCCTTCGTTGCGTATCGCCCGAGGGTATGAGGTATGCGTGTAACACCTCCGTAAAATATTTCTTCTCTTTCATAACAGAGCGCAACTGCTTCAGCAAATTTGTAGTATCTTTACGCCTTTCCATGTCTGATGAGAAATTTGAATACACTGTTCAGTTTGCGATTTACTACCTCTGTACTTATACCTCAATCGGTGACCAAATGTTTGCTTTCAATTACTTATGGTGTTATCTTGGCACGCGTCCTACATAGAGAATTCTCTTTGTTGGCAAATTACTACGATGAAATCACCAAGTCCAAAGGTGTGCTGTTGATTATTAAACCAGCGCATAGGTACTTACCCTACTTAGAATCATTGTGCAAAAATTTTCTGTAGAAAAATCTAATCTCTCTTATAATGGAAAATGACATAAAGAAACACTGGCGATTTCATAGATTTTAGGTTAATTACCAGGATATTTTGATTATTATATTATTTATACAGGGTGAGTTTCTTGCATTTTAAGCATTGGGATCTCGTAAACCATAAGACATACGGATTCGGTTAAATGAGGAAAGAGTTGTCGTTTTAAGAGCTTATTCAAGATAGGTATGCTTTTGTTTTTTGAAAAAAATCCACAGTTCACTAGATATGAGCGAAAAACAAATTTAGTGATTTTTCATTTAACTTTTGTAGAATCGTTATTATTAGAAATACATCAAACATAACTTAACATGATGAAAATACTAATTTCTTTTTAGATTTTACAATTTTTGAGTTATAATACAAACTTTAATTTTTTTTTATGGTAGTCAGAGTTGGCGTTGACATTTTTAAAAAGGACAAATTTTTCTCTTTATAACGATATAAGGCTTGCTAAAAGTACCTTAACAAATAAACGCCCTGTAGTAATTTGCGTATTATTGAGAGGTAAGTAAATAGAGTTGGCCATGGAAAACAATATCTAGTGAGATAGGTACCTTTCATTTACGACGAAAATTGGACAGGTCAATGTTATCTTCATTTTCTACCAAATTCTACCAATTTATCGTGTTTATTTGTCAAAGTAAGTACAATGATCCTTGTATCATTGTAAAAAGAAAAAAATGCACTTTTTAAAAATGTCACAGCCAACTATGATTACCATTAAAAAAATGTAAGTTTGCGTTATAACTCGAAAATTATAAAAGAAGAATAAATACTAATAAATGTATCTTATTAAGCGGAACAAAATTTACAATTTTTGTTCTTTGCATATTTCTGTATTTCTAATACTAACGATTCTAGAACATTTAAAAGAAAAATCACTAAATCTCTTTTTGGCTCATATCTAGTAAACTGTGGATTTTTTTCAAAAAACAAAAGCATATCTTGAATAAGCTCTTAAAACGACAACTCTTTCCTCATTTAACCGAATCTCTATGTCTTACGGTTTCCGAGATCCTAATGCTTAAAATGAAAAAAAAAACTCACCCTGTATATCTTCCAGGAAAAAATGGTTTAGCCCTATAATGCTAGCGTGTTCAGTTCATATATATGCATTTTTTTGATTATACTATGCGATCAAAAATGAGTTGCTGTTGAGTCACCTTTGGAATTTTTGTTTACGTGGGAAATCGTACTTCCAAAGGCAACTCGACAGCAGCTCATTTCTGATCGCCCGTTATCTGCATCAGAATCGCCTGAGGGTGCGAAAAATGCGATTAAAGCACGCCGAGCCTTAAAGGTGGTTAAGTAACATTACTTCAAATATAACATATCAAACTATCATAATATGAGACGTAAAAAATACTTCCAGATCGCTTTCTGCAAATACAAAAGATGTCTTTGGCTCGTATCCTTTGTTGGAAGCTTTCACAAACGCACGTGGTTTAGAAGAGGTGTTCCACTTGTTAATTGCAGTATTGATTGAAGTTTTGACTGAATGCACCAATATATTTACATACCTTTGACATTTCCTTCATATGTGCCAGTATTATACTACGCATTTAAGACTTGGTTTGAAAGATGCTTCCTATTTATTCACGCCAAACTTTGATATCGTTCATAATAGACTTTTGCATTTGGTACCAATTATTTCTGCTTCTGCAACAAGCCACTGAATGGACGGTGTATTATCTTCTTCGGCCAAAGTAATTTTCTTTCCGAAGATGGTAATCTTTATAAGCAAACGTCAAGTGACGGATCCATATCAATCATGGAATTATGAATAATCAGCCGAATTAATTAAAAATATATTCGACTATAACCTCAATATTATTTTATTTTTCTTATTTTTAAATAATAATGCAGATATAATAAGAAAAACTATAAAAAACGCGTGTATAATTGGTTTTGCGAACTCGTTGCCCGTGCTTGATATACTACCATAATATATCAATGGCGATTAGTGTTAAAACCGATTTGATAGGAAGATTTTTTTAAGTACACTAAAAAAAGCCCTGTTCATTCTCTATGCACTGATAAAAATGGGTTGCCATGACTATAACCGTTTTCAAGTAATCAATTATCAAGGTACCATCTGCATCCGCCATTTTTTTTCATAAAGTCAAAATAACTTAAAAACCACAAATGCCAGATTTCGACATGTGGTTATCAAAAGAACTGAAATTTCACGTAGAATCGAAAAAATGCAATAAAAAATAGGGGTTGCCATTGAAAATAACTAAGTTACTACCTACTTCCGGTGTTTGCGAAAGTGCGGCCATTTTGAAAATATTTTACATCGATTCGGCCTTCAGAGTAACTCCTAAGTACACATTTTCATACATATATGACATTTTCAAAAACATACCTATTTTACTTTCCCAGAAACGTTTAACTAAAGCTCCCAAAAAAACACCCTGTAGTTGCTCGTGATAGTTGGGAGTAGACTATATTTAGATCACCAGTTGTTAGAAACTCTACTATAAGAATGATCTTTGCCATAGCGGTAGGTAAGTGTTAATTTAGAACTAGATCACATTATTAGACATTACCACCGCCTTTCTTAATAGTAATTTGAATGAATGAAAGAATTTTTATGGCTCAAACAGAAGGTTATATTATTAATAATAAAGTCTTAAATATTAAACAAAGCCATATATGGGGTAATATGTTCAGTTCAGTTCCAACTTCGACACGGTTGTGTTATATGTTATAAATTGTAAGTGATAAAAAAATAATTAATCCATTTTAAGGCCGTTATAAATTTATTGTTATTTAGCTGTAATATATAATCTACCTACGTATTTAAATTTACGTTACATTATTTTATTAATAAAATAACTCAGATGTCGCTTTTGCCCCCTCTAATTATAAGCTTGCCGCTCCTTCGTAAGCTTTTTAGCTACGGGGCTGAACAATGGAGGGCAGCTAAGAGCTCATGCGTGCAATGATTTTTTACTCTTTAAAACATTATTTATTGCATGTTCTTTAAGTTTTGAAAAGATTTTAAGGATTGGCAATTTTTTTTATCGCCCCTTGAAATGGAGTGAAATTTAATAATCATTTTCCCCATGTTACACAAGATTTTTAGCAACCAAGCAAATTCGATTTTTTTTTGGTACCTAACCGCTAGTGATGCTTAAAAATGACTGCTAATTTAATTGTTTGAGTAATCCGCCGATCAAATCGTGGTAAGGAATCGGTGTACAGGAATAGAAGAACCAAACCAGTTCAGGAAGCTCTCGTGAATCAAAGAAATCTGAGGGAATCCCGGAGACAGTTTTGGGAACCCCAAAGAAATCCCATGATTGTTCATAATTTTGTGTTAAAATTTTGAAAAATTTGGTGAAGTGAAGGAAACGAGAAAAAATTATGGAAATCAAATATGAAATTAAAATTCTATTTAAAAGTTATTTACATAAAAGTCAAGAAAATGACACATTACTGGCGAGGAAATACTGAAGTGCGAGGCCCTTTGAGGGCGAGTACATTAATTTTCGAGTCAAGTAATGTCATTTTACTGACGAGTTTTGTTTTAAATTTTACCCGAAATGGTATTTTAACATAAAATTTCAATTTTCATATAGAACTTTTGATTAATGTCAATCTGTCAATGATGACAGGAGTCATTATAGACATTTAGCAATGTGACAGGTGCGGCAGGTAAAGTGACAGGCGGCAGGAAGAGTACACTGGTCTGCCTCCGTCATAAAAACTAACACTTTCCCGACATAAAGTAGGCATAAAAATGAAGGTTTCAGGACGATTTTGGGTAAAATAAATTATAATCCAACCGAATCCATTATTATTTATAGGCTCCTCATCTGCAACGAAAAAGATATGTACCTAGTCCTTTGAAATGCTTAAAGCACTTACATTAATTTGGTTACACTTGACCCTTTCCTTTATTCTTCTAGCTACGCATGGCACGAATAAATCAGGATCGGTATTCTCCAATGCTAACCCGGTGAATTTGTTACTTATCCAGCTTACCATAAATCCTACCACCAACGTGCATATAAAACCAATGAAACCATTATAAAGGTAAGACAAGCGATATAACCAAAAGTATTCACTGGAATCAAAATTGAAGGTCTCCGTGACCATTTTAGTACTCACCGACTCTCATTTTGTAATACATTATGCTGAGCAGTGATTTGATGGCAAGCATCTACTCGCACAGGCAGTTTGGGAAGACCGGGCCTTGGGCGACCAAATGCAGCCCAAAGGCAAACGGTCAACCCGCTGAAGAACCCCATTATCGCACCCTTAAGATTAAAATTAAGAACCATTTACCATTAAGTAAACCTACCTTTTGATTAGCATTGATTGTACACATACCCAAAGTAAATATCCCCAGAAGTGGCCCCCCGAGTATCCCAATTACAGTTAAAGCAGCTTGTAGAACTCCCCCTAAAAGTTGTGCTAGAAACGCAAAACCTATGCATATAATGCCACCACCAAACGATATGGCTTTACTGTAGAAGGATAATTGACTGTCGGTAGGGTGAGAACCGGTGAGTTTGTGGTAGACGGGCTGCAACAACGCATCGTTTGAGATTGCCACTTTTAATTAGCTTACTTTTAAGTAATCTTCCAAAGTGACTGCTGCTAAACAATTCAGTGACGATGACAATGAAGATAACGATCCGCTGAATATACCGGCGACAAAGAGTCCACTTAATCCAGGAATGTGTCCCGTTGAGTCAACAACGTAATAGGGCATTAACTGAAAGCCCATTAGCCCTTAACAATTTCAAATGTGTAAGTCACCTGATCGGAAGAGGTAATACTTCCGTTAGAAACTGGATCGCAATCGTAGTACCTCGCGTATATGGCCAATCCGGAAAGTGATGTACATAGATTGAGACCTACGATGATGGGAAACTGCAACCAGAGTGCCTGTCGTGCTCTTTTCAAATCTTTCACCGTCAAATATCTTTGCACTTGCGTTTGACTCACGCAATTCTGCGATAGAAATGTTATCCCTCCACCAATTATGAGCGAAAACCAAGAATGTCGGACTGTGGGATCGATCTCAAAGCTGCAATTATATCTACCTATATCGCGTTTACTGTGGTATAACTTACTTTAACAAATCAGTTCTGTTCCCTTCCTTCGCAACTCTCCAAATTTCTGCGAGACTTCCACTTTGCCGTATTGCAAATATCGGTATACTAGCTAGTGCTCCAAACATAAGTAACGACTGAAATACGTCGGTTATAATCACGGCTTTCATACCGCCGATACTCGAATAAAAAGTGCAAACCAAACCTAAAACGTTATCTATTATTGAAAGTGATACGAAAAAGTGATTAGCAGACCAATGCTTAAAATTGCAACGTTTTTCGACAATCCAGTGACCGCTTCTAGAGCAAGTGCGGGGGCGTACAACACAAGTCCTGAGTAGAAAATCATTTGCAAACTGTACGCAAGGGAACCAATCAGTCTTGCTATTGTTCCGTATCGCTTTCCCAAATACTAAAACGTTCTTTGTAGTGTAGGTTCAAAATTCAAAATACTGGATTAGTTGAAGTAACAATCTGAATACAACAGCAAATCCAAAAATGACCTTTCTACAGAAGTTTATTTGTGGTTGATGTGCTCCAACATCTTTTGTGAAAAGCTGGTTAAGTAATATACCAACTTACCTCATATACACTTGTCACCCGCAATTGGAAAAATATTGGCAAGTACACGTAAGATGCAATAGGCGCGACGATTACGTAGCCAAAAAACAATATAATGAACTGCAGCCCAAACGTGTAAATTTCACTTGCATTTCCTAAAAGTGAAATCGCAGACACCGTCGATGCCATCAAGGAAAATGCAACTGGTACAACATGCATGTTACTATCGGCGAACAAATACTCCTAAAACAACATTAAAAGGTGAACACTTTCCCTTTTGGTCATCTTACCCCAACTGTGCTTTGTTTACCGCCAGTAAAGCGACAATAAATCCCGATTCCGGATGATATAAGTAAAACTGTAGAAATCACAACATAATCCCAAACGCCAAGTAGATGTACGTCCATTATGATAATCTATTGGACAAATCTAGTTACTCACTTATTTATGTGGCCTGTATGTCTTCTTGACGGCAAAAAAAGGAAATGTTTACTGGTTAATGCTTTTTGTTACTACCAATCCCAAATAATTTCAAAGACGTTAATAAATACTACTCAACTGCAGACTCTAAGTTAGTGTTTTTTTTTGCTGAACTCAGAAATGCAGTACAATATCTCCATTAAAAAGATGTAATTTGAGCTATCACCCAGACAGTATAAGATCATACGCCTTCGTGTATAAATTTTGATTAAAAATTTAGAAAACGCATGGCTCTAGTCTACATCATACTTATGTAGTGTACTGTGGTAGTACCTACCGATCAAAATTATCAAATCAAATTTAAATCGCCTAAAGTGGCGAAATTGTAACTAAAACACGCGATAATTTCAACAATTATCTTAGTTCATTCGGTCTCATTGTTAGATACGTAATTATAATCGCAAATTGGTGTAACTGCTTACTGGAAGTTTCTGTTCAATTTATTAAACACCCCAAACCACATTTCAAAATAAATTTCCATATATAACAACAATCGAAATCTGATGTTAAATGTCCTAATTATCCAGTACCTATATACACGGTGTCCATTTTTCGAGTGCCACTATGGGGATCTCGCTTACCTTAAGAGCTAGAAAGTTGGTTAAATGGGGACAAAGTTGCGAATTTCCTTGCTGAATAACCATCTGAAAAGAAATTTAAAATATCATCAATAGTTCTGAAAATATCACAAAAAAAACGAAACTTTCTGATTTTCGTTTTTAATTTTTTCATGATAAACTTAGTCGTGCTAGACATTTCTAATTGACACATTATTCGAACACTTTTCAATGGAGATTTCGAATGTGACATCTCGGTTTAAATAACTTTTAAGATGACAGAGAAACACGTGGCAACTTTAGTTTTTCTTATGGGCGCCATTTTTAATTTTGAGATTTTAAGATTACGTCTTTTTTTCTCTTTACGACGATATATCACACATGGTGGTTCAGTATCACATTTTTCCTAAAATACAATTTTTTATTTTTTGGGAAGAGTGCTTTGGAAAAACAAAACGTTCTTTTATTGTGAACAAAAGTTTGACAGTTTGATGCATATGTCCGGTTGCAGCGTTGGCATCAGGGAACTAGATGTGTTTTCGATTTTCATATGAACAGAATTGCACCTTCGTTTTGCAAGAAAATTATAATTCAAAATAGAACAAAATACATAAGAATAAATAATATTTTAGCAATAAAACTAGCACAAACGTAAATGACACTGCTTGAAATAGGTCAACATTTTGTTCACAACAAAAGAACGTTTTGTTTTTGCATAGCACTCTTCGCATAAAATGAAAATTGTATTTTTAGAAAAAATGTGATACTGAACCACCATGTGTGATATATCGTTGTAAAGAGAAAAAAAGACCTAATCTCAAAATGTTAAAATCCAAAATGGTGCCCATAAAAAAAACTAAAGTTGCCACGTGTTTCTCCGTTATCTTGAAAGTTATTAAAAACAGGATGCCATATTTGAAACCTCCATTAAAAAGTATCCGAATAATGTGTTAATTAGAAATGTCTAGTACAATTAGTTTACAATGAAAAAGTTAAAAATGAAAATCAGAAATTTTCGATTTTTTGCCATATTTTCAAAACTATTGAAGATATTATAAATTTCTTTTTAGATTATTATTCAGCACGAAAATTCGCAACTTTGCCCTAATTTAACCAAGTTTCTATCTCTTAAGATAAGCGAGATCCCCACTCGAAAAATGAACACCGTGTAGCTGCTAAGGGTTTCAACGTGAAGACTTGTAATCCAAGGTTAGTTTTATTTACTTCTGTTTAAGCTGTTTAAATAATTCTCGGATGGTGGGATTGAAGGTGACATTGTTGAAATATTTGAATTTTAAGTTACTTGCAGCACTATATTAAGAGGCACAGTGGACAAAGCACCAAAAAATGTAGCAAAGATTATAGTCTTCTCTTTCAAATGAATGATAAAGTGCAAATTTGGTACGGTAAAACAATAAAAGATTATCGGTAGGTAAACGTGACTATTCAAGAAACCAGTAAAAATTTAAAAAAATATATAATTACTGTAAATATGGCACAAGATACAGGAGGTGCATTTGGAGGTAACAAATTGCCAGGACTGTTGACGCAAGTGGTAAATTACATGCGCAATAATAATTCCATATCAACAAATGTTGTTATTTATTTGACAGGTTATTGCCCTGATTGGAACTTTGATACATACCCACTATGAAGAATTAATATTTTTCTGATTTTTCAAAACAGGGCTAATAAGATTATTCTTACTCTACTATAAGCTACTAGCCAACTTTAAGACAGTACTTTGACAGTAAAACAATTATTTATACCTACTGATCACTTTATGCGTTCCTTTCCTATAAATTGCGCTATCTATTCTGATAACAGTAATATTAATTAATGATTATTCTACACAAACACAAAACATCTCATTACCTCGCCATACACGATGGGTGTTGCTTGAGTCGTTCCTACAAAGTACAATTAATGTGGAATCTTTGAAAAAATAGAATTTTGGTATAAAAATGTGATGTGTTACTAATTTTGGAAAAAGGTTCGATTTTTAATTGGTTTTTCAACCTCAATAAAAAAAAGAATTTGCAACGTATAGATACAGATAGAACTGTTGGATGTATTTTGCCCGATTAAAGGTTAATAGTGCGAACCACCCCTAAATGAAACTTGAACTGAACCTTTTAATAAAAGAACCAAAGGTTACATAACACATAACACAGAATTATAATGATACAATAAAATAAAATAAAATACAAAAAATGCAGTGCACAGTAACATAATGCAGAAGGTATTTATTTATCATCTATTAGTAATAGTATATTTTATAGTAGGGTAGATAAGTCTGCCTGAGCAGGAAGTTTGCATCCCGATGCACCTTGAGATATGAGGAATTATAACCAGTCATGGTAACTGTGGTTGGTAGAAATCAATTCCTTTCGTTGAAACCTTTCAGTAGAGTACCATGAAGGATAAAATCAGTTCCCCCCCCCCTCCCCCTAGGAGCAAGGACAAACGGCGGTAGCTAGTAGAAAACTGTTCCTTTCGTTGAGGCAGTTAATTAAAATACCATGAAAAATAAATGGAAATTCTACCCCCCCCCCCCCCAAGTCGCCCATTTAACTCAAAAATAAGTCGCGTCTGGCACTACTAGAGACATACATGCTTATTCTAAATTGGTTGTTGCATATAGAAGTTATGCACGTTATGCACCTTTTGCAAAAACATTCCATGACTCTAGGAAAATTCCCCCGATAGCAGTTCAAAATTACAGAAGTGGGTCCGGGCATATGAACGGACGAACGGATACACTGACGGACAGACTGGCGAACGAATAGACGGACGAACAAAACGCATTGTTAATTCTTAAAAATTTCCCTACATACAAAAGGATAAACGATACACATAATTACTTCCCCCCTCTGAAAGGCTTCTAATATCAAAAATAATAAGGAAACCAACATTTAAAAAATAATCAACAAATTCAGAACTGTTCTTGAGGACTTCCGAAGTTTGTCTCTTTTATGTATTCATTAACACGACTAAAAGTAATACAGGGTGTCTTAAATTGAGTAGGATAACATGGCTACCTTTGTTATTATTATACTTACAGATTCGGTTAAATTGGCAAAGTTGTGTAATTTTTGATGTTATTGGATATTCGGGTGCGATATTTTGAAAAAAATAAATCGTTACGTAGATAATTTTAAAAAAAGTTAAAATCGCCATTTTTAAAAAGTTTCAATATTTTAGTAACAAAGAGAGCTATCGAAAAAAGTTTCAAATAAAAATTGCAGGATTGGATGGGATAAATTTAATGTACGTAGAAAAATTTTTTTAAATGGCGGTTTTCGAGATATTGACATCAACTTCCTTATTTTAAATGGACGCCATATTGGATTTTTACATCACTAGATAGAGAAAGAAATTACAAAACCAGTGATACTAAGTTCGTGGATACGAAACACTTAGTAGGTATATGAAAGTACCGATAAATATATGAGTAATCGATATTTAGCTTTACGAATTTATGAAAGAAACAAGTTTCGTATGATAACGCGCAAATTGGAATTTATTTCATATACCAGTTGAGCCGCGACCGAATTTCGAGGTGGATTGTATCGATAACGTGCCGTTTCAACTACGCCCAATTTTTGGTTAATTAGTGTAAAGACGAAGGGTTTCGTATGAGAACATGGTTTGGTGCCATGTGCAATCAAATAAAAAGTACGTATATTTGATTTTGTATTTGAGCGCGTAGCCTCTGTTTCTGCACCATTATTTGGTAAATCTATTTCAGACATACGCAACATATGGCCAACGTGCCATATAACAGAAAACATGTCCGAAATAGACATGACCAATCGAAAATTTTGTTCGAACTGCCCAAAGTTCGCATAAAGTACCTTCATAAAACAAATCAAAATTATTATTTATTACTTATTATACCTAATCCCAGAATGAACAATATTACCAGGGTCGTTACAAAAAGCATTAAGTACAAAGAAGTCTAATTTACTCAGTCATTTATGAACATACTGAATTTTTTGGGCATCATTGTATAAACAAAGGATGGTTCTAGGTTTCTATGGACTTACAATTTTGAAAATTGATTTAGATTTTATGTAAATTTGTTGATAAACAGCATAATATTGAGGAATTTTGCTGAAGTTTGAAGTCATAATTAAAATAGTAAAAAAATCTAACACTCTAGAAACCTCTCTTTGTATGTTGTCTTTAAAATATAAAACAATATTGCTAATGTATTTATGTTATGTTACGTAGCAATTTTTTTCTTTTTTCGATGATGTAGGTAACATGTTAGTAGGTACCCTAATACAAGCAAATTTAAAAAATAACATGTAATTACATCGGTAACATTAATCTAGATGTCCTACATTAAAATAAAACAAATGAATGTGTACGTTTGTTACCATTTTATTGCTACTTTCATTTTGTCTTCAATAAGAAACGTATACGTTCATTTGTTTTATTTTCATGTAGGGTATCTAGACTAATGTTATTTATGTAATTATACTAAGTTTTTTTAAACAATTTTCTTGCATTAGGGTACTATGTTACATCATCAAAAGAGAAATCAAATCCCTATCAAATGAGCATAATGCAAAGGTGCACTGTCAATTAAATTCAATTGTTTTTCGTTACTAATTTGTTTTCTGAAATAAAAACAACTGAATGCTGCCTTATTATTGGATATAGAAACATTTTATACACATTTGATATTTACCGAGATATATAGGTACTATTTTCCATACATAATGGGCCTCGTAATGGGCACTCTGTATATAAGCATAATAAATAGAAACAGTATGTGAAGAGTACAAAAAATAGTGTTTTAAAACGCGATCTAAGTCTTGTACGGCGATGAATTCCAGACAATGCATCTAAATATGTTGAAAAATATAAGCATTTTATGAGGGACTAACTACAATGAAGATTGTAACATGCCTTTTCCTGAAAAATATTTGACTTCCTAAAGATTTCTGTTCTTGAATTAGCAGAGATTGCTTGACCTGGAACGAAACATTCTTTCCTGAAGACGATGCATGTTAAATTAACATACAGGGGAAAAATGTTAACACGATTATCCAAAAAATTTGTTAGATGTTTATTTCTACGAAAATATCATAAATTATTTTGAATAGACCAATTTTGTAAGGTAGATTAAGGATTCATTTCGCCAAAACTATCACCAGATTTTCGAAAAACTGGGGAATATTCCATACTCCCCGCATCCGTGGGTGCTACGTTTTCCTTTAAAATGTTTTAGCACTAAGGACTCTCGAGTTTTTCATAGAGGACCATCGGATTTTCCTCTCCTTGTGGGTACTCCAGACCCGAGTCCAGACCCCCCAGGTTTCTGGTGGGTGTGGATTCCAGAGAAAAGTACTAAATGGGCAAAAACAAAAAAAAACGTTTTTTTAATTTTTTATTCGAAATGTAATTCTCGTTTAAAAAACCCACGATAAAACTTGATCGATTTCTTGGGTTTCTTGTGGGCGAAAGTTAATAAAATGTATTTTTTTTATTTGAAACTTTTGATTCATTAACAAATGAATTGTTTCTAACAAATGTCTTCAATTGCAGGTAAATGCCTTATCTGTGGCGATCCAAGTCTCTACACCTAGAAAGGTAAGTCTTTAATATCTTTACTAAATCAATTCTTACATGTGTCTCTTATTTTATAAATCGAAAACTTTTTGATCGGGTTGAATGTCTCCAATGCAAATAATAATGAAAATATGTTTCTTTATTAAGCAAATAAAAAAAAATAAGAAAAAGAAATAACAATTTCAAATTTAAAGAAAAATTGCTGGTGGGAGATCGGCCAAAGGCCGTTTTTCACTCCTCCCATCGGTGCATTAAGCGACGTGAATTCATAATCCGTAAAGAAAACAAAAATAATACTTATGCACAACAATAATACAGAAGTAAGATAAAGAAAATTAAAAACAAAAGATTAAATCGCCCCATTGACATTTGTTTCTCTGGAGAATTAGAAGTTCTGTACGTAACTTGCTTTTGAAATTATTAACATTTTTCTACTTGGTATAATAATTGAAATAATTGTTTAAAATCTTGCATGACAAATATGAAAAGTAATTTTCAAATTTGGAGGACTTATGTTCCATGAGTGAGTAATACTCATTATCCGTGTGTTTGATGTAGTGCTCCATTTTTTATAAGTTTATAATCTTGAGGGAATAAAAGGACTAAATGGTAAAAACTAATATTTTGGTTAATCGATTGCCCTAAGGAAAATTAACCAAAATATAAGTTTTTACCATTTAGTCCATTTATTCCCTCAATACTCGCATTTTATCCCGCAAAGATTTGCTGTGTAAACTATTACATTGTAAGGATACATTTTCCAGTATCAACTTTAATTGCCGAATTGAAATTTTCATATTGTAACTTTTTTTATTATCCGATCTTCTCGAAATTTTAACAGTAGCGCCTTTTGGTAAAGACAAACCCATCGATTATATTGGATTGCATATATGCAGATGTAAATCTCTTATTTATGGAGTAGATACTTTGATAAATAAAATTTTCTTACCAGGAAAGTATTTCTTGTAAAGGGATTTTTCAGAAATCCTTAGTCGTCCTAGATAAGTGGCGGAAGTTCACTAACAATCTTTCAGCAAAATTTCCAACAAATGTCTTGAGCAATTTTTTCTTAAATATTTTGAGAAATTTTGGAAAATTTGGTAAGCATTTTGAATATCTTGCGAATCTATTGAGTCATCGAAACCTAACAACTTTTTCTGTTACCCTTTTGTGAATCTCCTCACGAGGAGAAATGTGCTTATGAATCTTCACAGATAGGACATTATAACGAAAAACAATTGAATTTTTTTAAAAATAGGAATGTACCGTTTCATTAGCTACCCTGATTTGAGACAGATTTTTTTTTTCTCAGAATACTCAGACCATTGAATTGATAATTATAAATTCAATGCTCAGACGTTCATTTCAAGCTTTCCGTAATTAGGTTATTTCACTGCCATGCAGTTAATAATATAAGTTTTTTGAACACTTATTGCGATGAAAACCATTTTATTGCTAATTTTATTGTACACGTTCACTTGTTTTATTTTCAAATAGGATATCTAGACTAATGTTATTGATGTAATCATAATACATTTTTTTGAAAAACTTTTTTGCGTTAGGGTGCTAACATGTTTCATCATTGAAGAGAGAAAAAAAATCTATTAAATGAGCTTAATGAAAAGGAGGATCACTGCCATTTAAAACAATTCAATTGTTTTTCGTTACTCATTTGTTTTCTGAAATAAAAACAACTGAATGCTGGCTTATAAAATCAAAATAATGTTAAACATCTTTCATATAGAAAAATTTTGTATACATTCGATATTTACCGAGATATAGGTATATTACTATATTCCATTCATAATGGCCGCCCTGTATGTAAGCGAGTTGTAGCGGTGTGGTATACTTTCTAAACCAGATGTCTTTTTTTAGCGCATTTTTGTGATATTGTTTGCGTTTTGTCCGTCCGTCCGTCCGGACCCACTTCTTCCGTTTCGAACTACTATCGTCTATTTTTCTTGTTGTGTAATTGCACTGTTCACAATTAAAGTCATGTGTTAGACGATGATTTCTTAAATTATTCTTATTGTTGCTTGCATAATTGCATTCACCAAAAATAAGTACCTACCTTGAGAGGCCTAAATGAGCAGGGTCTGACATATGGAATAGACAGAACACAATGAAAATAAAAAATAATATAATTATATAAATCAACTACATTAATTAACAACTTTGAGATTTATTGCTTGAACTTTTGTTATTCATGAAAACACCGTCGGATATCTAAAACAGACACAAATTTTACGTAACTGCAAAGTCTTCTCTGGATGTTACCTCAATTTTGTCACGTTTTAATCTTTTCCTCATCCGTTTGGCTATAAAAGGTACAAACAAATTTGGGTCCGTATTCTTAGCCATTGTACCACAGAGTTTGTTGCATAATATGCTTACAACGATCCCCACGACCAAAGTGCATATTAAACCTAGTACTCCATTGTACAGATAAGAAACGCGATACAGCCAAAAATAGTCCCTAAAAAAACTTGACTTTGAATCGCAAAACCCTGGTCAAAGACTTACGTGTCATCGGTTCTTGAATGAAGCAAAGGTACAGATATGTTGTGCAAGTATCTTGTGCTACTACAACCATCAACACGGACCGGTAGCTTCGGAAGCGGGGGTCTAGGCCCCCCAAAGGCGATCCAAATAGAGAACGCCAGGCCCGTCACCAAGCCTGTTACTGCGCCCTGAATCGTAAATCATGAGACAACTATAGTTATGTGTACAGGGTGTTTTTTTGGGAGCTTTAGTTAACAGTTTCTGGGAAAGTAAAATAGGTAAGTTTTTGAAAAATTGTACTTAGGAGTTACTCTGAAAGCCGAATCGATGTAAAATATTGTCAAAATGGTCGCACTTCCGGAAACACCGGAAGTAGATAGTAACTTCGTTATTTTAAATGACAACCCCTATTTTTTATTGCATTTTTGGATTCTACGTGAAATTTCACTTTTATTGATACCCATATGTCGATATCTACCATTTATGGTTTTTAAGTTATTTTGACTTTAAGAAAAGAAATGGCGGATGCAGATGGTACCTTGATAATTGATTACTTGCAAACGGTTGTAGTCATGGCAACCTATTTTTATCAGTGCATAGAGAATGAATAGGGCTTTCTTTTAGTGCACTTAAAAAAAAGTTAAGTTGCGTATGACCGCCCCTATGGATATCCAAATTTATGAAACTTCAAAGACTAAAAACTCAGTTTTTTTAAATGGAATGACCATGTTCTTACTATTCCATGAGATAGAGAATCGAAATGGGCATATTTTGACAATACATGTTCCTATAGCTATCTTTAACAGTTTCTGACTTATTCCCATTTTATTGAATTGACACTATTTTTTTAGGTTTTTCTTTTTAGTAGTCGGCCATGATTCTATAACAATTGAATTTTAAACAAATCTAGTGACACTAATCCATCACCCACTGTTATAGGTTAACATAAGTTTTTCAAAAATCGAAAAATGACTCGCAGTGGTTTCACTCATTTTGGAATTTAATTGTTATTTATGGTGAAATGGGCAGAATCGCGGCGCGTGCTTTCCGTACATTCATTCGAAAACTAGAACGAAATTGTATGAATTTTGGAAATTTTGTACTCCTAATGACCGTTGAAGCACAAGTGATACAAAGCTCTAGAAGAGAATATTTAAGAAAATGAATTGAATTGCAAATGCAAGATTAACAAAATAAATTCAATGCAAAATATAAAAAACTTCGTTTTTGGTATGGAATTGTTGCTAGAACAGACCTTTCTTAATTTCCAGACTTATACGTTGTTTAAGAAATTCAGTTGAACGACTCTGTTTAGATTTTTCAAAAATTTTCCGTCCTACATCCTTAATAAATGAGTTATTTATTAATGAATTATTTAGACTAGAACTAGAATCAGTGGTATTAAAGAATCCATTCCTTGATTTGTTTAAAATTCGATTGTTATAAAATCATGGCCAACTACTAAAAAGAAAATGCGAAAAAAAATGGCATCAATTCCGAGATCAATTCAATGAAATGGGAATAAATCAGAAACTGTTAAAGATAGCTATAGGAACATGTAATATCAAAATATGCCAATTTCGATTCTCTATCTCATGCAATATTAAGAACATGGTCATTCCATTTAAAAAAACTGAGTTTATAGACTTTGAAGTTTCTTAAATTTGGATCTCCATAGGTGCGGTTGTACGCAACTTAACTTTTTTTTAAGTACACTAAAAGAAAGCCCTATTCATTCTCTATGCACTGATAAAAATGGGTTGTCATGACTATAACCTTTTTCAAGTAATCAATTATCAAGGTACCATCTGCATCCGCCATTTTTTTTCTTAAAGTCAAAATAACTTAAAAACCATAAATGGCAGATATGACATATGGGTATCAAAAGAACTGAAATTTCACGTAGAATCCAAAAATGCAATAAAAAATAGGGGTTGCCATTTAAAATAACAAAGTTACTATCTACTTCCGGTGTTTCCGGAAGTGCGGCCATTTTGAAAATATTTTACATCGATTCGGCCTTCAGAGTAACTCCTAAGTACAAATTTTCAAAAACCTACGTATTTTACTTTCCCAGAAACGTTTAACTAAAGCTCCCAAAAAAACACCCTGTATAGTACCTGTTCGTTAGCAGTCCTTGTAAACATTCCCAAAGAAAATAACCCTAATAACGGTCCTCCCACCACTCCAAATATGGTTAAAGCGGCTTGAAGAACGCCGCCCAAGAATTGTGCCAAAAACGCTATGGCGATACAAACCAACCCATAAATGAACGATATAATCTTGGTCCGTATTGATAATCGCTTATCGGAAAGTTCGTACCCTTTTATTCTGTAGTAGAGAGGCTGAAAGGACCATACTTTCATGAGTATAATTAATTGGAACTCACTTTAAAGTAATCTTCTAGCGTCACAGCTGCTAGGCAGTTCATTGCGGCGGATACTGTAGACAATGTCCCGCTAAATATCCCCGCAACGAAAAATCCACTGATTCCTGGAATGTGTCCCATGGAGTCGATCACATAATAAGGCATCAACTAAAAAAAAACACCGGTTATTACTAGTTACTGCCGGTCTGGACCGGATCACCTGATCTGTGGACGTAATACTGTTATTGGAAACTGGATCACAGTTGTAATACTTGGAATATATAGCTAATCCAGAAAATGATGTACACAAACTGAGAGCTGTCAGAATGGGCCAATTTAGCCATAGCGCTTGCTGGGCCTTTTTCAAATCCTTAACTGTTAGGTATCGTTGGACTTGCGTCTGGTTAACAGCGTACAGAGAGAGAAACGTTACTCCCCCACCTATTATAAGCGAAAACCAGGAATGTCGAACGGTAGGGTCAATGTCAAAGCTGCAATTGGCAATGTAAAAACCATCCACAACTGCAGAGGATTAGGTACTTGAGTAAACTCGTCCTGTTGCCTTCCTCCGCTATCCTCCATATATCTGCAATACTCCCAGTCTGAACAAATGCGCAAATTATTATGCTAAATACGGCTCCGAACATTAGTATGGATTGAAATAAGTCAGTCATAAGTACCGCTTTCATGCCTCCAAGTGTCGAGTAGAATGTGCAGACCAACCCTTAAACGCGTGAGTCTTTTAGGAGTAAACTTAGTGCATGATTACCTACCGACTGTTAAAATAGCCGCTAGCTGCGTTATACCAGTCAGTGCTTCTAAAGCGAGAGCAGGTGCGTATAATACAATACCCATATATAAGACCATCTGCAAACTGTAGCACACAGAGGCTGCAAGTCTGGCAAATTGCCCAAATCGCCTCTCCAGGTACTACATTCAGGAAATAAGATATGCAATTAGTTTGCGAAACCTCCTCACCTCATATACACTCGTTGCTTGCAATTGAAAAAATACAGGTAAATACAAGTAAGCCGCGACAGGTGTAAAAATCCCGTACGAAATATTAATCACGATAAATTGAAAACCAAACGTGTAGTTCTCACTTGCAACGCCCAACAGGGTAATTGCGGACATGAACGATGCCATTAGTGAGAACGCGACCGGCGCTATGTGCATGTTATTGTCCGCCAGTAAATATTCCTAAAACAAAATTATTATTCCAACACATGACAAAGGTACTCTTACCTTGACAGTTTTTTGTTTGCCCCCAGTGAAACGGTAGTACACTCCGATTCCGGCCGATATCACTAAAACTGCTCCCAGGACGACATAGTCCCAAACTCCCAGTAAGTTGATGCGTTGCACCATTGTATATTCAAAGCCTAAAACGAAAAGGGTCAGTATTATTTTTCTGATTGTACAATCTGGGATGTGTAATTCAAACTGGGAGTAGATATCAAATTACGATAATATTGTATAAATAAATAATTAGTGTATTTGCATATAAAAATAATTAATAAGATGCGAAGAATCGCGCACGATTTTCAGTATGGGAATTTTTTGACAGTCGGCTCGCATTCGGAAACACGACTTTTAATCCGGCTCATGTTCACTAACATTGATTGTTGAACTTCTGTATGAATTTCGTGGAATTCTCTCCATTTTCGTTGTCCCCGCCAAGAATTGCAGTGGGCTTTTTTTCGAATTTTCAAAAACTAATTTCAGATTCGTGATTTTCATGTTCAAAAACCCCCAGATACCAAATTTCCTCGAAATCATAATCTTTTTTCTCGCCCCCGTTTAGGGGCGCGCCCTTACGTGATAGGAATTTTGAATTTTTTTTGCAAAATCGGAAAGGACATACCCCAAAACATATTCAAAGACTTTTTTCTAACCCTGACGGTTGCTTACAAAAAAATTAAAGAAGAAATGCAAATTTCACCACTTTCTTGAGGGTGGCTCCCAAACGAAACAGGTTGGACTCTCGATTTATTTTGAAAAACGTGCTTGTTTTGATCCCCTCTACCACCCAATTTTTTTTACATAGTTTTATGTAACCCCCTGTATGTAAAGATAAATGTATTGTGGTAAAAAGTGCCCCCCACATTTTTTGGAGGGTCAGTTTTTTAACCCCAATGCAATACCTCCCTCATAGACTTCTTTCTAACTCTGATGGTTGCTGAAAAAAAATTAAAGAAGAAATGTGCAAATTTCACCAGTTTCTTGAGGGTGGCTGCGAAACGAAACACGTTGGACCCTCGATTTATTTTGAAAAAGTGCTTGTTTTGATCCCCTCTACCACCCAATTTTTTTTTACATAATTATATGTAACACCCTGTATATAAAGATAAACATAAGGAAAGGTATCATTGAGGTAAAAAATGACCCCGCTCTGTTGTGACGGAAATACACTCCATGAAGCACCAGGAATTCAAACCACTCGATGAAGGAGATCTATCTGTCTATCTGTACTCTCATTTCGGGCCAAGCGGCGGAACCGATTGGGCTCAAATTTGGTACACATGTTCTTAGAATAAAAGAAAGAGCTGAAAAACATTTCGACAGAGCAAGCATGCACCGATTTGCGGATAGTAACTGTGCTCGTCACAGTAAATTTTTTTCATTATATATGAGGAGGATGGAAATAGAAAGATTTGATTATATTTTGAAACAAGTTGGAGATAAACTACCAGAATTTGTAAATAGTAGGCCATGCATTCGTGGAGATTTTTGTTTTGTTTATTGTATCCATGGCAACTAAGACCAACCAATAAAATTCGCTGATGGTAGAAGCATGCCATTTCAAAATTTCGAAAAATATGATATAAATAGAATATACAATCATATAAACATATGCAGGGGCGGACTGGGTACTTACGGGCCAGGTGGAATTGCATAGGTTACGGGCCATTAAAGTATTAGTGTAGTAATGAAGTTGGGGGGGGGGGGGGGAGCTCTGCGGTGCACCACAATAGTATATTAAGATAATGGATAATCAAGTCTTTAAAGCACGCGCAACGAGTTTAAGGGCACGACGCAAAGCGGAGTGCCTTTAACGTTGCAAGTGCTTTAAAGACCAATTATACACGTGTATCTTATAGTATTTTTTATTATACCTGCAGTATAATTTAAAAATAGGAAATACAATGAAATCATATTGACGTTATACTCGAATACATGTCTAATTAAGTGGGCTGGGTGTTCGTAATTCCACGATTGCCATGGAAATGTCACTTGAAGTTTGCTTATAAAAATCATCGTCTTTGTGAATTAAACGATTTCCGTTGAAAAAGATAATACACCGTCCATTAAATCGATTGTCGTAAAATCTAAACAAACGTTGGTAGGTGTAAAATCCAACTCCAGTAACGCCTATTAGGTATAAAGAATATGAAAAGTTGTTTCCATTGATGAATAGGAAGTTACTTACGAATACAGTCTTAAATGCATCCATAATGCTGGCATATATGAAGGAAATGTCAAAGGTATTTAAATCTTCTATATTTTGGTGCATTCTTCAAAACTTTAAAGCAATGCTGCGATTAAAAAGTGGAACAGATTTGGAAGCATACCCTAAATTACGTGCGTTTGTGAAAGCTTCAACCAAAGGATAGGTACAAAAGCCAAAGAAATGTTCTGCATTTACAGAAAGCGACCTAAGAGGATTTTTTTATTTCATCCAGATGACAGTTTCAAAAGTCATACTTGAAGTATCGTTACTTAGCAACTTTAAAGCACGTGTGTTTTAAAGGCCCTTTTTCGCACGCATTTGAGTGTTTAAAACGGAGATTGTGTTTCAGGTATAATAAAAAAAAGTTTTTTGCCGAACCCAAGCGTGCCATGACGAAACAAAAGATGTTCAATTCTTACAATTAACAGTATAGTGTTGGCAGTGTGTGATTGTTTTTTAATCGGCAGAACTAGTTGATATGGTGTTTATTCTGGGAGACTATTACCGGAATTGTTTATTGGCGTCACAAGAGTACGCTGAGAGATATCCTGGCCGAACACATCCAGATCCACACGCGTTTCAAAAGGTGTTGGATAAATTGCCGACACTGTACTGTTAATTGTGAAAATTGAACCTCTTTTGTTTCATCATGGCACACTTGGATTCGGAAAATAAGGTTTTTTTTACAAATTCGCGTTTTTCCCTGAAATTTTCTTATGGAAAGTGTGGTTTTCTTTGTATCAGTGGAAAATTAGTAGTTTTGGCTTGCCAGAGGTATAATTTGTTTAGGGGGGTGCCATTTGAAATTTTTGAAAAATCAAAAATTTAATTTTTTTTCCTAAAAAAATTATGTGACTGTGGAAGAGGTCTTGACCCGTGCCTCAGTCCAAAACTTAGCCGCTTGCGCGATTTAGTTTCTCACAAAAAGACACCATAGAGTGATTTCCTCTTCGCATAAATGGTGGTGCATCAATTCCTTCAATCAACTTTCGAGACAGTCAGAACAGTCTTCTTTATTTATTTTTATCAAAAACCAAAATTCATAGAAGATTGAAATTAACTGCTACCTTAAAGTTTCTGATCTTTCAGACTTTGTTATAAACATTTTCAAAATTCCTACAGCAAGCACTCAATGTACAACATGAACATAAAAATAGAGACCGCAAAATTAGTTTTCAGAAATTCGAGAAAAAAAAGGCACAATTGCAATTGTTCTTAGACCCCCTGGTATAAAGACCCTTTCAATACCTACAGTAGTTTTTAGCGTCGTGAATCTTAGGGTAAGAATATTTGTACAGAATGGTCCAAATTCGTGGCTCACCATTGGGATCTCGTGACGGTGAGAGACGGTGTAGGTTGAATGGGGGCAAATTTGCCTTTCTATGCGACTAAAAAACGCATTTGAAATTTTTGAAAAATCTTTGAAAATAACTACCAAAAAACTGAAAATGTCACATTTGGTTTTCATTTTTCCTAGCATAAACGGTCGAAAATGGACGGTTTCCGTTAACACCATCTATGGGCACTTTTGTTCTGAGAATCTGAATCAGAATTTTCATAGCACGCTAGATGTAGAAGCTACAGGCTACTCCTTCCCCTGTTTCCGACAACAGAGACAAAGTTTTCTGTATCGTCATTGGTTGACGAATGAAGTTACAAGACTTGACGCCTGTATCCTTTAGATTCTCCCACAAAAGTAAGATTTGACTGTAATGTTCACTGAAACCCCTCCAGAAGGTTCTCTTTAACGATAGATAAAGTGAAACAGTTGATTGTGCATTCTAATGAAATCTGTCATTCTTATTGCAAATGGGACGCGAAGCACGATATAAAATGAAGTTCAGAATTTATGATAATGCTGTTTCTATGGAACCGACGTCTAAATTAAATTTAATTAGAATTGTCAGAAGCTTTGCAGTGTTTATATGGCTTCTGCTGTAAAATAAAGTGTTGATAAAGGCAAACTAACCATATCGTGAAAGTTAATAAAATATACCTTTATACAAACTCTTCCAAGCGACATACCTAAACTATTGCCCCAAAACAGATGGAACACATTTTGAGGACAGTAATCAATGGTTTTAAAATAGATTAAGCATACCTGCTAAGTAAAGGAAATTTATGTTTAGATACCCAGGTGATTAAAAATTTGTAATGCTATTACATATGCATGACGCAACGTAATGAAAATATAATCTGCTTTTTTAAATTTGAAATTACCTTAATTAAAGGTTCATAAATGATCATAAGTACTCACCTGCTTTTTTTGCCGACGTATGTATGTCAGCTTGCTCATTACATGCTTTTAATTAAAGTAAACTGACAGTATCTATCGCGAACACTTTTACTTTTAAGTCATGTGCCAAGACGGTGCTTTTTAGTGCAATCTATCTAACACATAATATCGAAATGTTTAAGGACTTCCACACATTATGATAAATATGGTCCAATTTAATTAACGTGCTCATTACATGCTTTTACAGTAAACTGAAGTGGAATTTATTTTACCTTAATGATAGGCAGTCGTTTCATATCTCGAAGATAACACGTTTACTTCTCAGTCATGTGTCAAGTGCTTTTTGATGCCATATCTAAACTCTAAGGGTAGTAGGTACACGTGTGATAATAATATCGAAATTGTTAAGAACTTAAGAACTTCCACACATTATGATAAATATGGTTTAATTTAATTAATGTGATTGGTTTTTTATGTGCACATAAAGTGGTATTCATAATTACAATAATTATGTTGTCTCACTTATACTTACCCGCTATTTTGTTTTATTTTGCGTTACATTACATTAACAATGATATTTATAAATAAGTAGACATTGGGATTTACGTGTACCTATTGTTTTAATTAATATGACAGCCAGATCTTTATTTGTTTTAAGAAGTTATGTTGGTTGCATAAAATTAGGCGCCCTTCAGAAGAGATTTTGTCATTCAAAAGTAGACATACCTGAAAAACAATATGTCTACCACTGTATATGCTAAATAATAAAGAGACTGCGTCTAAAAAGTGAGGTCCGTGTTGTGTACACCCCTCGTTCTTTGGAATTTTTGTAACAAAAACAAATAGTAGGTACAGCACAGGTCTTTATATTTGATGAAACTAATATTAACGATTGTAAAATACAAAACAATATATAATTTTGTCTAAGTACAAAGTACGTCGCAAAATTTAAGTTATACAGAAGTGATCACAAATCCTGCTAAACTCGTATTACCCTAATGAGATCATTAAACAAATACTGTCAACCCACCACTCATTAAAATCGTAACCAGGTACGGTCACGGACAAAATTACTGGTTCTTCTAGAGCCCAATTTGATAGGTACTTCAAGAGTTTGGAAGCTATACGAATTCTTGAGCATGAAGAGAAAAATTTTGCCAGTGACTGTACAACACTTAGTTATAATCTTTAACAGTACAATTATGTTGTAAATTAATATAAAAATATATAATCAGTCTATATCATTATATCTGTGTCTATTTTTAATGATTCCCCATCATGTTGCATAGGTCGAGTAGGTTACGTAAGAACAATCTTTTTCGAGTGAGCGACCCATAGCAATTAAAAATATTGGTCATGATAGCAAGGGGTAGCAAATGCATCTTTTATTTACAATGTATCAAATTTATTTACTTAGTTCCTCAATATTTTAGTTCATTCGCACAATGGAAAGTAACTAGTGAAATTCTGCCTCCTGCAATTTAGCGTTTGAAGGCAGATAGTGAGTTATTGTCAGTACGGGATTTCCCCAAAAAGGGTTTTATAAATTTCTATGTGGTAGTCATTTGCTGTGTAAACCATTAGGAACTTGGAAACAGTGTTAAATGGAATCGCCCTCCGTGCGTTCTGACAGAAGAATAAAACTCAACCTGGAGCTCATATTTTAATTACGCGACACTTTAACAAAACTGGACAACGACTTTGTCTTCTTAACTTCAGGTGTAAAACCTTAAATTTCGTTATCTGGCGAAAACTGACCGGAATAATTTATCGCAACAATGAGATACGAAAACAGCCTTGTTTACTTCCCATTTTTCGTATTTGAAAGTTCATTAGTTCCCAGTCGTCGCTCGGTACTCCCACCGCCATCGCTTGAACTCCAAACACCTGCATTCGTTATCTTGCAAGTGGCGGTGTTAGTAAACAAGGTCAATTAATTTGTCCTAAACTTTTACCTTACGTCCAATTCTTTGTCTATTTGAGAGAAATTTCCCCGGGTTCTATCAAATAAATTGAAACATCTTACATACAGGATGTCCCGATTACTGTTTCCAATGCTTAAACCGAAATTACGTTAACAACACGTAAATTTTTAACACGGGGTGACTCGCTCTAATCTTTATCATTGTTTCAAACTAGAGAAACGATCCCCCCTATAGTTTATACCACCGGCGTACGCAAAGGGGGGGCTGAAGGGGCTGCAGCCCCTCACGAAATGATCGACTTAACTACTCAGCGGCACATCCCGTAAGTCGTCCAGTCATGGTATAATTATTTAAATGCCAAGCGACAATAAAAATGTTGCAGTTGCTGGAAAAACTACCTTACTTTTTCCTTCGCTTACTTGATCTTGCGAATGTGTACGACATACGTGAAAATTTACATACTTTGAGTCTTAATTCTCGAGTTTCAGCTCCTCCCGAAAAAAAATCCTGCGTACGCTACTGGTTTATACAACAATATAATTATACGATTATAGGACGGTCGAGTAAATTTCCATTTAACATCGTGGACTCCCCTACTATAATGTTTTACTTTTCTCAAAAGCTATAATATACAGGGTGGTGACTTGCGTCACGCATCATAGGGATTTCAATGTAAAATTCATAACGTGCCTGGCCCCCCAAATTATTTTAGAGCAAAAATGTATTAAGGTTTTTGTTACGTCAATCACCCGTATTAGTTTTCAATTTTTTGCATAATAAAGACGGAAAATTGGAAAAAAAAAACCCCATCTTTTTCTATAATCTGTGATGCCATGGAATTTTATACTACTACAAAAACTACGCCAATATCCGTCATGCCATGGAATCTGCTACAAAACAAATCAAATTCTATCAAAAAGTATTATATTATTTAGAACGGCGAATTCGACATAAAGAAAGACCAAATTACTAAAAACGGTTTCCTAATATAACAATTTACAATAAATGTTCGAATAAGTCACCATTAACTGCAAGACAGTAACCAAGTCGATCATCAAATCCATTTCGAACTGCTGCTAATTGATAACTGGATGGATATCTTTTGTTTTAGAAAATTCCATGGCATCGCAGATTATTGAAAAAGATGCGGGTTTTATTTTTCCAATTTTCCGTCTTTATTATGCAAAAAATTGAAAACTATAATACGGGTGATTGTCGTAAAAAAATTGTTTCTACAAAAAACCTTAATACAGTTTTGCTCTAAAATAATTTGGGGAGCCAATAATCGCATGTTATGAATTTTACATTGAAATCCCTATGATGCGTTACGCAAGTCACCACCCTGTATAGATGTGCAATGAGGGAAAAATACTATTCCAATTATCGTGACTGAAATTCGCCCCAGAATAGGTACATTTTTAGCGCATTTTCCAACAAAGTTGGGTGCTCTATTGCAGTCACTTTTTTTGTCTGTCCGTCTGTTCGTACAGTTTTCAAGATACTTAGTTCGTTCTTTTTGCATTCGACAGCTGAGTCAAGGAAACTGCGCATGCGCAAACTGCACAATGGAAACTATTTATAGATATTTTTTTTGAAATTTTAACCATAGATGTCTCCAGTAAAGATAAGCATATCGCATATTGTAAACAAAACAAATTTCTTATTTATAGATATGTTTTTCGAAATTTTAATAACAGATGCTTCTATCTATCGGGCATCTGAACCAAGAAAAATCTTGACAATTACACTGCGCATGTGCATTATGTCCGTTCTGTGACCTTTTGGGAACTACTGATCAATGCATGGAACAATTACGTGTTTTTCATTTAATCCCAATGCTATACCGTTCTGTGCACTGTTATTTATTGTTACATTATTCAGTTTTGTTCAAATATGCGAGGTCAAAAAATAAGGATCTGGATCCTTAACAAAAATTGGACTTTCGCACTCTGAGACAATGGAAAGTTTTGCATATAATGGGTCACTCACTCACAGTTTGTTGAATCAATTTTCAACAGACCAATAAAATCTTAATTACTCTTAACTGCATATTTTTAATATCATTGCTGGTACTTATTGTCAATAAAATTGGAAGACAAGTAAATCACAGGATGTGTACCACACGTAAACCGTAATTCTTCTTTACATCAGACTTCTATCGGGACGACCTCTAATCTACACCTATCCGAACTCTACTCATCGCTACAATGCTCGACAGTCTTATGTCCAATTTCGCATCAATTAATATCCTGCAGTATTGCCATCTGTAAGAAATTGAGAATGAAATCGAAATCAACATTTCATGCGGACCTCTTTTTCCCTTCGCATCTTTTCCTTTCGCATTTTTTTCGCAAGAATCGGAATAAACAGATTGGGATCTTTGCCGTCGCTATGCGCATTGGTCACCTTTCTCAGCACGAAACTGACGACATATCCGACAAAAAATGTGCCCGATAACCCAAGGACACCGTTGTAAAGATAAGAAACGCGATATAACCATAAGTAATTGCTGCAATATCCGAAATTAGACGATATTAATTTAATTGGCATCAGGCTTACTCGCTGGACGGTACGGTCGCAGTGGTAACCGTCGCATTCAAGTACGGATTGCCACAGCCATCGACTCGGATTGGTAGTTTCGGGGATGGTGGTTTGGGACCGCCGAAAGCAATCCACAAGGATAGCGCCAAACCGAAAGTGAAACCCACCAGCGAGCCCTACAATTCAAGTTAGATCGGGTCCGTTAACTTGGCCCCCCCACTGAGAGATTTCATAGTCGTATTATTTTGAAATGAATGCGCTCGTTATGCGCTCATATGCGCCACCGATAATAACTCTTGCGCCATTATCGTTTTTTAGAAATTCGAAAAAACATTACGTATTTTGTCCCTTGTAACTAGGTCACCTGATACATTTGGTTATGCGCTCAATTGCGCCACTTGAATTAAAGCTAGCGCCATTACGGTTAAGCCGTGACAAATTTTCAAAAAGTGGGGGGGCCAACTTAACGTTTTTAAAAGTTACTTTTTTTTAACTTGTTTTCATACGAAATTGTACTCTCAGGTATGCGCTGAAATGCGCCGTAAAAAGATATCTTTGCGCCATTATTGTTTTTTGGTTATCCTTAAATATATTTGCGGGGGGGCAAGTGAACGAAATCCCCTATAACGCATTTTGCTACCGGTATTTGTGTCACTTGATACATCTGGTTATGAGCTCAATTGCGCCACTTGAATTAAAGCTAGCGCCATTACGGTTAAGCCATAAAAAATTTTTAAAAAGGGGGGGGGCTAACTTAACGTTTTCAAAAGTTACGTTTTTTAACATGTTTTTTCTACTACATCGTACCTTTCATCATGCGCTAAAATGCGCCGTGAACAAAAATCTTGGCGCCATTATAGTGTTTCAGAAACACTATACAGGGTGTTTTTTTGGGAGCTTTAGTTAAACGATTCTGAGAAAGTAAAATAGGTAGGTTTTTAAAAATTTGTATTTAGGCCGAAGGCCGAATCGATGTAAAATATTTTCAAAATGGACCCACTTCCGGAAATAACTTTTGAAAACGCTAAGTTAGACCCTCCACTTTTTAAACATTTTTTATGGCTTAACCGTAATGGCGCTAGCTTTAATTCAAGTGGCGCAATTGAGCTCATAACCAGATGTATCAAGTGGCACAAATACCGGTAGCAAAATACGTTATGGGGGATTCCGTTCACTTGGCCCCCCCCCAAATATATTTAAGGATAACCAAAAAACAATAATGGCGCAAAGATATCTTTTTACGGCGCATTTCAGCGCATACCTGAGAGTACAATTTCGTATGAAAAGATGTTAAAAAAAGTTACTTTTAAAAACGTGTTTTTTTGAAAATTTGTCACGGTTTAACCGTAATGGCGCTAGCTTTAATTCAAGTGGCGCAATTGAGCGCATAACCAAATGTATCAGGTGACTTAGTTACAAGGGACAAAATACGTACTGGGGGGGCTACGTTCACTTGCCCCCCCAATGTTTTTTCGGATTTCTAAAAAACGATAATGGCGCAAGACTTATTATCGGTGGCGCATATGAGCGCATAACGAGCGCATTCATTTCAAAATAATACGACTATCAAATCTCTCAGTGGGGGGGCCAAGTTAACGGACCCAGTTAGATCCCTTTGCGGTGCGTCGGGCTTACCTTCTCGTTGGGAGTTCGCGCAAACATGCCCAGAGTAAAGAGACCGAGAAGTGGGCCACCGATCGCCCCAAAAATCGTGAGGGATGTCTGCAAAACCTCCCCCATGTACTGCGCTAGAAAGGCCAACGCGATGCTAATTAACCCGTAGGTTAGCGCCGTAAGTTTCGTGTACAAGGGGAGGTTTTCGGTTAGGGGCCGTTTGCGTATACACAAATACATGGGCTGAAAGTACGCGATTACTCGATGTCTTGGAACCGTGGATGTTTACCTTTATATAGTCTTCAACTGTGACTGCCGCCAGACAGTTCATCGCCGAAGATACAGTGGATAAGGTCGCACTGAATATGCCGGAGATGAATATTCCACTGACACCCGGTATATGCCCCATGGAATCGATGACGTAATACGGCATTATCTACAAATGACTGCGCTAAGAAAAGTGTGCGGCTGAGAGGAGTTACCTGATCAGTATGACGAAGAGTGTGATTGGCAACTGGGTCGCAGTTGTAGTACTTGGAATAAATTGCCAAGCCCGAAAACGAGGTTGTCAAACTTAGCAGTGTTAGAATCGGCCAGTTAAGCCAAAGAGCCTTTTGGGCGGTCTTCAAATCCTTCACCGTTAAATATCGCTGTATTTGCGTCTGGTTAACTGCGTAGAGCGATAGGAAGGTGACTCCTCCTCCAAGTATCAGCGAGAACCAGGAGTGGCGCACGGTCGGATCTGGATCGAAACTAACGCGGAGGTTTAACGGAAAAGGTGAGACAGTGAGATTTACTTGAACAGCTCGGTCCGTTTTCCTTCGGAGGCGATGCGCCAAATTTCCGAAAAGCTCCCTTTGTCGATGAACGCGCAGATGATGACGCTGAAGATTCCGGCGAACATGAGAAGTGATTGGAAGCAGTCGGTGACTAGGACCGCCTTCATTCCTCCGATTGTTGAATAAAACGTGCACACTAAACCTAAAAGTGCAAGGTTAACTGATGGAGAATATTGTGGAGGGTTATACTGACCTACTGCTATAATTGCTGTTACTGTGGAAATACCAGTGAGCGCCTCTAAGGTCATTGAAGGCGCGTATAGCACAATCCCCATATACAAAACCATTTGCAGAGTGTACGAAAGTGAGGCCATCAATCGAGTAGTTTTCCCAAATCTCCTCTCAAGATACTAAAAATGCGTTGGAAAATGTAAATGGCGGGTACTAAACCGAACACACCTCGTATGCACTGGTAGCTTGCAGCTGGTAAAAAACTGGAATGTACATATTTGTGGCAATTGGTGTAAAGATTCCGTAAGCAAAATTGATGACAATGAACTGAATTCCGTACGAGTAGTTTTCACTTGACACTCCCAGAAGAGTTATGGCCGACATAAAGGATGCCATCAGCGAAAATGCCACAGGTGTAACGCTCATATTTCTATCGGCCAGTAAGTACTCCTAAAAAACGACAAATAACGGCCCCATTAGCACTTGCTAAGCGTGTGTTACTTTAACAGTTCTTTGTTTGCCACCGGTAAAACGATAGTACACTCCTATTGCAGAGGATACTGCCAAAACTGCGCCTAGAACGGCATAATCCCATACGCCGAAGGAGTGCATTGCCTGTGAACAGTATTAATGTTAGGGAGAGTAAGGAAACTAGTGGTTTGGAGGAATTTCTGCGGACGTGCGGTTAGCGTCTACTAAATAAACTCACCGAACCGAAAGGTAACACAATTAAGTAATTAACGGCAACTATCTCTACTAGTGGATTTTTGAAACAAAGTGCCAGTAAATCGTACCTCGACAAGTGACGAATAGATAACTTTAACAGCAAAAAATTGACATCAATAAGTTTCACTTCGTCATGATTATTACATCGCGCGTGCCAATCAGTGGCTATTAATGAACTAGACAGTTGAATGTATCATTGTAGTATAAATATGAGGCCGAACGTCATCGGAAATCACAAACTGTACAAAGTGTAATCGACACTTATATAAGGTGGCCGCAAATAGGGGTTTCTGTTGGGTTTTCATTTTCCTGAAAGACTTGATTAGATTTTTACGTGTTTTATCTTTAAAACTTGAGGAATAATTTCATTGTACATCACGGGCCCAAAAGATCCATTTTTCTAAACAATCCCAAGGTCTATCGTTTGAGAGCTACGCCCCGAAATAGTCCCAAAATTCGCGTTTCTCAGATGTTTCTTACTGATTTTGTAAAAAATCTCTGAAATTTCTCCCCATGCTGGCGGACCCCCAAACGGAGACGCGGAAAAATTTTCATCTCGATGACACGAAAACAACGAATCCAAAATTTGGTTTTTCAAAATTCCAAAAAAATATCCAATTCTAGGTTGAACACAATATGCAACATCTACAAAAAAGTGTTTACAACTTTGTTGTAAAATAATTAGAAGAGAAAATATTTCAATACACGGTGTCCATTTTTCGAGTGCCACTGTGGGGATCTCGCTTACCTTAAGAGATAGAAATTTGGGTAAATGGGGGCAAAGTTGCGAATTTCTCTGCTGAATAACCATCTGAAAAGAAATTTAAAATATCATCCGAAAATATCGCAAAAAAACGAAACTTTCTGATTTTCGTTCTTAATTTTTTCATGATAAACTACTCGTATTAGACCTTTCTAATTAACACATTATTCGAACACTTTTCAATGGAGATTGCGAATGTGACATCTCGTTTTAAATAACTTTTCAGATGACAGAGAAACACGTGGAAACTTTAGTTTTTCTTATGGACGCCATTTTTAATTTTGAGATATTAAGATTACGTCTTTTTTTCTCTTTACGACGATATATCACACATGGTGGTTCAGTATCACATTTTTCCTAAAATACAATTTTTAATTTTTTGGGAAGTGCTTTGGAAAAACAAAACGTTCTTTTATTGTGAACAAAAGTTTGACAGTTTGATGCATATGTCCGGTTGCAGCGTTGGCATCAGGGAACTAGATGTGTTGAGAAAATTCGATTTTCATATGAACAGAATTGAACCTTCGTTTTGCAAGAAAATTATAATTCAAATTAGAACAAAATAAATAATATTTTAGCAATAAAACTAGCACAATCGTAAATGACACTGCTTGAAATAAGTCAACATTTTGTTCATAACAAAAGAACGTTTTGTTTTTGCATAGCACTCTTTGCAGAAAATGAAAATTGTATTTTTAGAAAAAATGTGATACTGAACCACCATGACTGTGTGATATATCGTTGTAAAGAGAAAAAAAGGCCTAATCTCAAAATGTCAAAATCCAAAACGGCGCCCATAGAAAAAAACTAAAGTTGCCACGGCTTCTCCGTTATCTTGAAAGTTATTAAAAACGGGATGCCATATTCGAAATCTCCATTAAAAAGTGTCTGAATCTCGGTCTAAATAATGTATTAATTAGAAATGTCTAGTACAATATTAGTTTACATTGAAAAAATTAAAAATGAAAATCAGAAATTTTCGATTTTTTGCCATATAAGATATAAAATTATTTTTAGATTATTATTCGGCACGAAAATTCGCAACTTTGCCCTAATTTAACCAAGTTTCTATCTCTGAAGATAAGCGAGATCCCCATAGTGGCACTCGAAAAATGGACACCGTGTATAAAGAAATTACCATATTAAAAAACCTCGAAAAAACTTATTCATTCGAACGAATTTTGGGTAGATAAATTAATAAAAATTATATGGCGTCAGTCGATTTTATATGAACCCGGACTCATCGAAGAACCGGTGTTCAACTTTTAGAGCAATCGATCGATACCGTTAGACACCCTGTAAATTAACCAGATGTATTTCTACATTACCGGAAAGATCTGTAAATTCTCAGATTAATTTAGCAACTCCTTGAAATCTCCAGATTAATTGTGCAAATTTGTTTTAATGATGTATATCCGTTTATTTCTCCCAGTTTTCTTGCAATATAAAAAATTAGAAATTCCATTAATTTTTATTATGTAATGGAAGAGTTGATTCTAAGATTCGACATTAAATTTAGTAACTACGAACCAATTTAGCCGTGTCGTAACCTGCTAGCTCCATAATTAGTGATAAAAAACGGACTACCACTAGTTTTCATTACAAATTTAAGAGAACAACTCAAATTAAGGAAAATAGTATGTTAATTACGAGACCCCGACATTCATATGTTCGAGCATATGTTCTTTGTAACAAAAATGATCAAGAACCACTTTTTTTAGGTTTGGCCAATTTTTGGGTTGTAACTTTTTGGCCCGTTAGTCAAAACAATAGCGACCTTTCTTATACAGGGTGGTGACTTGCGTAACGCATCATAGGGATTTCAATGTAAAATTCATAACATGCGATTATCGGCCCCCCAAATTATTTTAGAGCAAAACTGTATTAAGGTTTTTTGTAGGAAAAATTTTTTACGTCAATCAACCGTATTAGTTTTCAATTTTTTGCATAATAAAGACGGAAAATTGCAAAAATAAAACCCGCATCTTTTTCAATAATCTGCGATGCCATGGAATTTTCTAAAAAAAAAGGGATATCCAGTTATCAATTAGCAGCAGCAGTTCGAAATGGATTTTATCATCGACTTGGTTGCAGTTAATAGTGACTTATTCGAACATTTATTGTAAATTGTTATATTAGGACACCGTTTTTAGTAATTTGGTCTTTCTTTATGTTGAATTTGCTGTTCTAAATATAATACTTTTTGATAAAATTTCATTTGTTTTATAGCAGACATTCCATGGCATGACGGATATTGGCGTAGTTTTTGTATTAGAAAATTCCATGGCATCACAGATTATTGAAAAAGATGGGGGTTTTATTTTTCCAATTTTCCGTCTTTATTATGCAAAAAATTGAAAACTAATGCGGTTGATTGACGTAAAAAATTTTTTTCTACAAAAAACCTTAATACATTTTTGCTCTAAAATAATTTGGGGAGCCAATAATCGCATGTTATGAATTTTACATTGAAATCCCTATGATGCGTTACGCAAGTCACCACCTTGTATAGTTATATCCTTGAGAACATGCGTACCAATTTTCAAAGCGATCCGACGTTTTTGCTCAAAGTTATCGTGCACACGGACAGACGGACGGGCAGACAGATGGGCGGACAGACAACGGACAACAGGCGGACACACAAGACAATGCAAAATTATATCTCGGCGAGTATCTCGGGGATCGTTAATAAACGGCAAAAGTGGAAAATTATAACATGTAAAAATGGTTTTTTGGTTTTTTTACAATAACTTTTTTAGCAATAAACACACTACAAATTATCCACTGATATAAACAAAACCACACCTTCCATAAGAAAATTTCAGAGAAAAACCAAGTCGAGAACCAAGTCGAAACGCCAATTAATTAACAAAGAATGATAACAATTTTATAACCATAAAAAAATATGTCTGACAGAAATGCTAAGGCGTTTATTTCAAGGCCTCCTAACAAAATTATGCATATAAAGGTGCGTATTCACTTGCAACAAAATGCCCCGAACGAACCAAACGCGCCGCCGACAAACATTTTGCGGGGGAAATTTGTGCTCTTTGTAGAGTTTGCGGTATTTTCTGCGTTCCCATCAAACTTGGAAAATGTTTGGCGCATTGGGTCAACGTACTGACTACATAAATTTGTTACAGCGCGTTTGGTTCGTTCGGGGCATTTTGTTGCAAGTGAATACGCACCTTTACGCTCACAAGAAAACGAATAACAGATAGGTATAGGCGAGGGATTGATCGATGTAGATTTTTTTTCGACATTTGAAACTGCACAAAAATAAAGCAGGTCTCATTTGAAAAAAATTAACTTTTTATGGTTCGAGGTTATTAAACTAGACCATTCATTTTAAGACACTCTGTAGAAAGGAGATCAAAATTTAATCATTCGCATGTAGCATCACGTCAGTATTGTTGATTTTAGAAGACTTTTTGAAAATCAAGTCAACGGAGCCATAGGTACAGGGCGCTAAAGAAAAGCAGTGAAATGTCAAAAATTTTAAAAAATCTGCATAACTTGAAAACCTTTGATACTGGGTATAGGGAAGTGTGGTATCAAACGACGTAGATTTCCATGTAGATTTCGAAAATGCAATAAAATATAGGGTGTTCCATTTCAAATAAGAAATCCGGTAAAACCGGAAGTCTCGCCGGAAGTGAAACAATAATGATAGTATTTTCTTTCGATAGGTGTATCATGAAAAACCTCGTGAAAAACTATGTAGATCTAAATTATTAATGGGGGTCCGAATACTTTTAGGTACGGGTTTGCGTGAAACAGCCTGTATAATATATAAGGAATAGTCGAGGGAATAGTAAAACCATGGACTATTAGTAGTCTATGGTAAAACATACAATTTCAAAGCTATAAGAAGAAATAAGTTTTATGCCGATTTCCCGTGAAGTTAAAAACAACGTTAAAGGGAATTATACTCGGGGTTTTAAAATAATTTGATCCTATTTTACATATAAGCATAGTATATTGTGTTATATTATAATATAAGTTTGTGTTTTCCAATTAGCTGATCATTTTGTTGTCTTTTTATTAATTAATTATGTAGATTAGGATCAATGATATTAAGAATCCTTTCCTTGATTTGTTTAAAATTCGATTGTCATAAAATCATGGCCCTCTACTAGAAAGAAAATCCGAAAAAAATGGTTTCAATTCAATGAAATGCGAATAACTCGTAATATTAAAATACGCCAATTTCGATTCTCTATCTAATGCAATAGTAAGAAAATGGTATCTATTTCATTTTAAAAAACTGAGTTTTTAGTCTTTGATTTTAAATTTGGATCTCTATTATAGGTGCGGTCGTACGCAACTTAACTTTTTTTTAAGTACACTAAAAGAAAGTCCTATTCTTTTTCTATGCACTGGTAAAAATGAGTTATCATAACTAGAACCGTTTTCAAGTAATCAATTATTAAGGTAGCGTCTGCATCCGCCATTTTTTTTCTTAAAGTCAAAATAACTTAAAAACCATAAATGGTAGATGTAGACATATCAAAAGAACTGAAATTTCACGTAGAATCCAAAAATGCAATAAAACTGCAAAAAATAGGGGTTGCCATTTAAAATAACGAAGTTACTAGCTACTTCCGGTAATTCCGGAAGTGCGGCCATTTTGAAAATATTTTACATCGATTCGTCCTTCAGAGTAACTCACAAGTACAAATTTTCAAAAACCTAGGTACCTATTTTACTTTCCCAGAAACCTTTCCTAAAACTCCCAAAAAAACACCCTGTATACAGTATCGATCATTTATTTGCCATATTATAAGAATTGTTTGAGTAGGTACTCACAGCGTTTTAACATCGGAGACGAATCAAGCGCAAAAATACCTACTCGTAATTAAAGCCAAAATAAACCGATTTTCTACTAAAACTGAAACTCAAGTTCAAAAATATTGAGGATTCGACAGGTCCTAGCTGAAATCGTACCTTTATCCGTCTGGTACGACTGTTAGTCCAAGGTACCAAAATTGAATAATTTGTCGGGTCGTGTAATTAACAACCTTAGAGACGAGACTACATGATGTGAGGCCACATCTGGGCGCCATCCCCGAGCTTAGTTTACTAACGTAGTGATTTTTCAGTTTATTCCTATCTTCTTCTACAGTTTCGATCCGATTGTTTTCAACCTGGTGTCTCGTACTCGCGCATAACCCCTGCGTGACGGAATTTTACCACCTTTTCCAAGGCGCGGTTTAAAGTTTCTTAAGGCCCGAATCGCGGTCTCCCTTTCTCGTTTCGCCAATAGAATCTCGAGCTATGAGAAGGGCCCCAAAAATTGAGTACATACTATTTTGTGGAGGGTTAGTAGCGAAATCCACAAAAATGGCGTGTTTATATGACTGTACGCGAGGGCGTCAGAAGTGGGTACCGACAAAGAGAACCCTGGCCAAGATTTTACTGATGTTGGAGTGAAAACATTTTTTTTATGATTAATAAAGTATTTTAAAATTGCCAACAACTTACGCGTTTTGGTAGCGAAACTGCTAGATATCCTCAGCAAACTAGATATAGGTACTAAACTGTTTAAAACTAGGTTTATTTAATTAACTTTAAAGTATTAAGTAGCTTATACATATACCGACATATACCTAATTGTTTATTTCTTTACAGATGGAGTAAGTTTCTACCAGAGTTTCTACCTCATCGTATACCTATCTCCAAGGGTAAGTCGATTCTTTTGCTACATAGTTTTCATCTTCTTTATTTGGTATTTACATGTATGACCGTATTCCAATATTTATTACACTTTACCAAAAGGAGTGCTACAATATAGCATCCGAGATCCGTTTCTGTTACCGTTTTCATCTCGGTTTTCATGAACTAGTGTTAATCTTAAAAAAATTATTTACTAGCTGAAACGCCTCGTGGAACACAAATGTATACCTATTCATATAACTCTCGCCAGGAAAGATTGCCGGTCACAGAACACTTGATCCTGGTCTACAATCTATATTTTTCTTAAGATGCAAGCGACTTCCTGAATAGGATCGTGCCAATGTTGAACGAAAAACCTTTTTGTTCAACATTGACATGATACTATCCCGGAAGTCGCCCACATCTTTAGAAAAACATAGATTGTAGACCAGGATCAAGTGTTCTGTGACCGGCAATCTTTCCTGGCGAGAGGTTTATATTAATTTATTCGATCTTCATACGGTATCTTTTGCTACACGCGTAAAAATAAGTCACATTCTTACAAATTGTTGTGATTTAACTTCAAATTAAGTATTACTTCATGAGCCGAATAACAACGACCTGGTGTCCTTAATTGACATCTATAAAGATAAGTGGTGCTTCAATCTGGATTATCTTGAACCAAATCTTTCAATAGTCAACGTTCTAAATCTTTTTTCTAATAAAGTTCGATAGGGTGGTTTTCTTGCCCACGACGACTTTTCAATTCAATATTTAACACATTCAAGCAAAAGTGTGTACCAATCTCTGTAGTATGGTAACTACATAAGTATTAATTGTCAGTTGCTGGTTACCAAAGTACACGTTTGACGTTTTCTCCAAAGAAATTGGGCCATCAATAGAAAATTGCAATATGACGGTTAAATCGAAATCCAAAATTATAGCTATTAACTACGGGAGGGTAATTAAGGGAAGCTCTAGAGTAACATGAAAATTTAAAAACATGAGAACGAGCATGAGAAGGATTCGAGACAAACGCTCGAGAGAAACTTGAGAGGAAATTGAAGAGAATTTCTCTAGACTAAATCTCAAAAAATTTTGGGAAATTGCACAATTCACGAAGTACATGTAATATTCTTTGAGTTTCGCTGTGTTTCTATGTCCGTCCGTCCACGCGATAGAGAACGAAAGCGAATTTTCCTCGGAATTTTCTAAAGTTCTTCATTTTTGTTTTGTTTTGATTTTTCATTTTGCAATAAACAGTACATAAATAAAATTATAAACCCCATATGGGGCGAGAGGGCTACAAACCGGTTAACATAACATTAAAAATTTGAGAAACAGTGAAAGCGAACGTTTGAAGCAGTGCTGACATCTTTTGTACACATTTATCACTAACCTCAAATTTCGGCACTAAAGACACTTCTAATTCACAACCTGGTGTTTTATTTCTGTACTAGTCGTACGTACCTTTCACAGAGGTATGGTAATTCCTATTTTCCGAGAAAAACTTAAGCGATCCACAGGCAACACACTAATCACTGACCAATTGACGTTGACTATCAAGCAAGTACGTCATCCGCAAGAGCCAATCGGCGATTACAAAATCGTTACACGATATTACTATCAATGGCAAGGTGAAGGATACGACAAACGCCACGCCACTGACGATTTAGGTTACGTCACATAGACTTACGCACGTTTTTTTCCTAAAGGTCGATTATATTTACCGAAATTCCTAGAAATAGCGCAATTTTCACTTACCAGTGCAACAACACGAAATAGAAAAATTAGGAAATAAGAGCTGCGATTCACGCACCGGGTATATATCGACCACTCCGACCGAGTGCTACTGCCACATTCCGAATTCTGATTCTGCTGAAGAGCCGTGTGTCCGAAAATGTCTTTGTTTGCAAATAGTTTAAGTAATAATACAGTTGCTCAATAAGAAACGATTTATTGATTAATTTCCTAGTAGGTAAACACTGACTTTGCACTCGTTTGAAATACAGGGGCATACAAAAACTAGGTATTATTTTCTGTTACACCTTAATAGGGGACAGGTGGTCGCATCTTAAAGAAAATTCGCACGTACCACAGGTGAAAAGGTGAAAATTTCAAATTTACCGCCTAAATCCGGAAACCGTAAAACAATACAAGATTCGATTGCTGCGTTTGCGTACCGATAGTAAATAGTGGTGCGTTGTTTGTATTAAAGACCCAAAGAACTTTTGGTTGAGGCTTTTGCGTTCAATTCGTGGAAATACCCAACAAAAGTCGTTCAAATTGAATCGTTTTTATTAGGAATTGAGTGATGAAGATTGTAATGTGGTACATAACCTCAAAACGTATTTAAAGTCTATTTTTCGCTTGTTTTTTTCCAGAACTGCTACGTTTTCGTGTGGTTCTCGGTTGGAAATTGTAAATCGCGTGTTCTAAATCTGTTGCCACTTTGTTTAACGCAAAAATGTGCGTAATTAATGCCCGTTCGAGTTTATTCTTGCGGTGGTAGTGTTATGGACTTTCCCGTTTTTACAATTGCGCAAAGTTTATTTTGATTCGAGGCGTGTTTTATTAATAATTTTATCATGAGAATTATTTCAAAATTTCGTATTTGTTGTATATAATGCAAATAAAAGTGCTAAACAATGATCATAACATTAATCGACGATTGTTAACGAAGATGTCCGAGGATTGTTGTAGTCAAAACAATGTTAATTTGACTGGATGCTTGGAAAATTTAAATTCGTTAAATAATATTGTAGCCACCGAGAAAATCGATTTAAATTTACCGTATGATCATATGTACGCGTCTAATACAGAAAATTTCAATTTAATCAACAATTCCAACTTTAACTGTCAAAACGCCGAAAATGAGGTTAAGTTTTTGAAAGATTGGCTGTTAACCAATTTGGATTTGATACAACAGCAAAACGACGAAATTTTAAATAAGGAAAAGACCATACACATTTTAAAACAAGAAAATGAAATGGTAAGTCCGCTACTGTCGCATTAATTTCTCGTAATACGCCTCTTCCAGCTTAAAGAACGTATAAATTGCCTGGATAATAGCGCTTACCAAAGTACTGATCTGAATCACTACGAAACTCAGGAGAACTCGTGCGGGAATGTTCTAGAGGAAATGACTCATGACGCTTCTCACGCTGACGACAATACCAAATCCGCCACATACGTTGAGCCGCAAAGTGATATCAAAGAACCAATTTACGAAATAATCGCAACCGAATGCAGGCACGCGCAGGATATATTCGCGTCCGGTAACAACTTCACATTTTTACGCTCTGTATCAATCTTAACCTTGTAGAGAATAACGCTACGAAAGCGGGTACAACGGAAGGTATCTCCGATGACATGGTTAACAGTTCGGTCGACGATACCTTGAAAGATATCAAAATGAGTATTAGAAGGAAACGTTTGTGTAGTAGTTCGTCTGTGATCTCGAACACCGAAGTTTCGTTAGAAGAATCGCACAGTTCACGAAAGAAGAAGAAAAGAAAAAGTGAGTCGGCGGCGTCGGAAAGACAAATACTTAACGAAACTTGCAGGTTCATTGCGCGATGACAAAATTCTTATGTCCGCCGATCCTTACGTGACGCAAAGTGGAAATCTTGCCGCCATACCGCAAGAGCTCGATTCATCTTCGACGATACCATCGGCGACAAATCTGGAGGTTTGTGTGATAACGTTGAGTAAAAAATTTGTAGAAGTGAAACAGCGTAATGGGAAGACTCAAAGTTGGTGTAATGTGTGTTGCCTACTTATTACTGTATGCATTGCCAAATATAATGCCACTGTAAATGCAGCTGTAATGCTAATAAGTAGCATGGGTGGCCTATAAGTAGGACGAATTAGATTTGCAAAGACGTTTTGTATGGTATCCGCAATTGTAAAAAGTTTGCTATCAATCTACGTACTTTTTTTTAATTGCAATTAATAGTTTTTATTACATGTTAATACAAAGTACACCTTTTTGGATATTGCAGTATAACATTATTGTGCTACATAACTAGATAGATCCTTATTGCCGCATTTTAATTGGTAATTGCTGTTTTTTATTGTTTTATCTTTTGTTTGTTTGCTTGATTGTTCTGAGAATGTAGTTAAAGTATCATTATAATATTGCTAAAGGGGATAAAAGCGAAAAGATTCGGCTCAAAAAAGAACCAATGTATTGATACTCTCTTTTTTAGTCAATTTCATCATAAGACTCCGCTAGGGTGTGTATATTTCGCATAAATACCGCCCAAAATGTGGTATTTTACGTTTGTATTTTCAGTTTGGGGGCGTAATACAATTTTGATCATTTTGTTTGCGTGAAATATGTAATAAAAAAGAGTGGTTACTATTTAAAGAAATATGCCCCTCCCCTTGACCACTGTCCGCCACTGATCACAAATTTTAAGTAGGTAGATTGGTAGCAAACTTTTTATAATTTTGGAATCTTTTAAAAAACGTTTTAAAGATATATTCAGTGTTCAATATAAAATTTCCACCCTGTATATTCCGAGATCTATTCCAACCTTGTCTGCCACTATGTAACTATATTAAAATGTTGGTGCTCCTTCCAAAAACCAAGCAAACTCTAACCCAGTTTCCACTTCTTAACATTTTTTATTTAATGCCCATTGCCGGTTTGCATTTTTTGCTAGTGTATAATACGTAGGTACCGAGATGGCGAGTGAAAGTTTACACCAGTTGCTACTCAATGGAAGGTACGGAAAATCTAGACGACGAAGTTTATAACAAGAGACACATGCGATTAGAAAATGACGAAAGAAGACGAAAAAGGTGAACCTTCACTTGCGATAACGACATGCTATGTTTACCTTTCAGATGGGACGTTCAGAGGATACGTGAGCAACGAATAGTGGATAAATTGAAACAGAGACAGGAGCGTGTCGGATCCGGTTCAAGAGTCGACGACCAAATTGAATCGGTAGTGTCGCTATGGCCGCCATTAGAAGATATAAAATACCTCGAAGTTTGTGATAATTTACCTGTATCAGCATTCGGAGCACCTATAGTTCGTTTTACGCCAATGTAAAATCACGTATGTCGCCCTTCGTGTTTAATTACAACCGACTTTTGTAGGGAATTTTCATTACCGTGGCTAAGCAATTCTGAAGCACCACAAGACACATCAAAAAAACACAACCATAGAAAATCCACTATAAAAAGGAAAGCGACAAAGAGATAAATTGTAAAGATTTTCGCATAGACCTTTATTTTAGTGATGCTTTAGATCTCTTAGTTTTTCTTTGTGAAGACTAACTTGGACTTTGTGCAGAATTAACCAAATGAACTAAGTGATAAGTTGATGTGCTAATGAAAATTTGAGGAAGATAATAAGTAGAATTTTTTTCATTTTTAGAACCATTTTAAATTATTCCTAAATCAATTCGGTGATTTATGTTCATGTATATTTGATAATTGTACATAATGCAAAATAAAAGTTTTATAAAAAATTGCCTTGAGCCGGCATATTTTTGGTACCTAATGTGACAATATCATTTTCACAAAGTGTTTGTACTGCTAAATTTAATTGGGGCAGTACATAAAACACAAAACTGGGGAAAGGTGGCGGCTATTCCTAAATTGGGATTGTTTGTTTTTTTGAAAATTTCGGTTGTGTTTAATAAATTGGTAGTTTATTTGAATGTTCAGTTCTTCCATGTATTTCTAATAATTATTTTGAAAGTTCGAGTTAAACCTTTTTTTCTTTTCCTTAATTTGCGCATACGGCATCAGTGTATTGAAACGTCACTTCAAAACATCACAATATTACATTAATTTCACAGCGATTACACGCATCCCACTAATGTTGGTACCATAGCATATGTATTGCAACTGTATTACACACATTACACATGTATTACATGCATTACACAATTATTTTGCCTATTACCATTGTATTTATCCATTACATATTGCATAAATGGAAACTCCCTATTTTTATACATCATATTAGGCATAAAAATAAGGGTAACTTTCCAAAAATTTCACTTCCCAAAATATTGGGTATTTAATATTTTTTCTTTGTAAACACGCTATTAAGTATGGTTTTATTTGGTATGAAAAGGTGACTTTTGTTTCGGTCTCAATTGTTTATTTTCGGCACCATGACGACGAGCCATGGCCAACTTAACAAAGTATCACCACAGTCCATTAAAACGGAACCTCATATAAAATAAATAATTGGCAATTATGGTGTTGGATGAATTCTTGTTGACATGAGTTGGTATATATTTTTAAATATTCTAAGCTTTTTGAGACATATGTCGTGAGACACCCTGCACTTGAATTATTCTTCCAAATCTTTAAAGACTGTACTTAAAAAAACGCTGTCCTCTACTTTTGTTTCTGAGTAAACGTGAAACAAAATTGTATACCTAAACATTTTCAAAATTTCTATTCCAAAATGTTTCATATAACATTTCCTACACATTCCAAATTTTGCTGCACATTTAGCCCCCCTCCCCTCTCTATACTAGCGGAATTTCTGGTGATAACTCAAATAAAAATCAGAATATGGTCACCTTATTGTATATGTTCACCCTGTATATAATATAATGGATAAAAGAAGAAGCCTTCAGCTCAATTATCGGAAGCATGCGTTACAAAACCTTAACCTTTTGCTGATATATTCTAATTCCAAGGGATATCTGATTTATTGTAAAATGTACCTTTTTATTTTGTGGATTTCTACGGTTTTGAAAAACTGAAAATTATATATATATATATATATATACATATAAATAATCGTATGAACAGATGCAGTATTTGTTTTTCTAAAAAAACGTATTAAGACTTTTGCTCTAAAATAATTAGGGGCGCTAGTAATTGGCTATAAAGAAATTACCATTGAAATCCCTATGTTGTGTCGCTCTAGGGACCACCCGGTATATACGATCAACCATTGAACTTAATTGGTACATGAGCCACACCCACCGTGTTGAAAAAATGTTTATAACGTTACACCAGACACCATAACTTCGTTGATGGTCCACGATTTCTTTCTTGTTTTTGAATTGTATTTGTAAAAAGCAACTTCTTGTTTCTTGTAATTTATGCGTAAGTTATAATGGCCGATAAGATAGATTGGGCAAAGTATTTAGAGGAACAAACTTCATTAATATCAAAGAATGTAAGTTTTCTGTAGCGTCTCCACATTCCCATAACCCCAAATTTTAGGTTGCCAACTTAGAAGTTACCCCCGCGGCTGCGGGTGACGATCCTCCCGCTAACGAACAGAATGAAGCAACAAATGGCGATAATGGGGATGACCCCGTGAATCCTGCCGATGTAAGTCTATTGCAAAAGATCATACGAAAAGGATTAGTTGAAAATGCCAATGACGTCGAAATTCAACGTCAAGATCCAAACTCGCCCCTATACTCCGTAAAAACATTTGAAGCGCTACACTTGTACGACAGTTGACAATCTTACCGTTATTGTATTGCGTCATTTCAGAAAACCGAATTTGTTAAAAGGCATCTACAGCATGGGATTTAACGCTCCGTCTAAAATCCAAGAGACAGCTTTACCCACTTTGCTGGCGGATCCGCCTCAGAATTTAATTGCACAGTCGCAATCGGGCACCGGTAAAACAGCCGCCTTTGTTTTAGCAATGTTAAGCCGACTAGATTCCCAGTTCAATTTTCCGCAAGTCCTCTGTTTGTCACCGACGTACGAACTGGCGATACAAACGGCAGAGGTGGCCACTCGGATGGCGCAGTTCTGCCCGGAAATCGAAATAAAGCTGGCGGTACGAGGGGAAGAAAGTATACTATTATTCGCTTGTTTTAATTTATACGATGATCTTCGTTTTAGTGCCGCGAGGAGCGAAAATTAGCGAACACATAATCATAGGGACGCCTGGGAAGGTGTTAGATTGGGGTCTGAAGTTTCGTTCATTTGACTTAAGTAAAATTAAGGTGTTCGTTTTGGACGAGGCTGACGTGATGATCTCTCAGCAGGGTCATCAGGATCAGTGTATCCGAATTCATAAGTAAGCAATGCGTTTGGAGGCGGCGTGTTACAATTATTTCGTAGATGTTTAGCCAGCACCTGCCAAATGATGTTTTTTTCTGCGACTTACGGTCAGGATGTTATGGAGTTCGCAGAAGTTATCGTACCGAGACCGATAATAATAAGATTGAAACGGGAGGAAGAAAGTTTAGATAACATTGAACAGTATTACGTTAAGTGTAAAGACCAACAGGCCAAGTATGAGGCTCTTACAAATATTTACGGAAGTATCAGCGTCGGGCAAGCTATAATCTTCTGTCATACTCGGCGCACAGCTAACTGGTTAGCCGAAAAGATGGCAAAGCACGGTCATTCTGTTGCCGTACTAAATGGTGACCTAACTGTAGAGCAACGCATCGCCGTATTGGATCGTTTTCGTGAAGGACTAGAGAAGGTTTTGATCACTACGAACGTTTTGTCTAGGGGTACTTCGCCGTGCACTAAATGCCAATTGCTCAAGTCTTTGTTTAAGGTATCGACGTGGAACAAGTTACGATCGTTGTCAATTTTGATTTGCCCATCGACATGCAGGGCAAGGCGGACTGCGAGACGTACCTACACAGAATTGGCAGAACCGGTCGGTTCGGCAAAAACGGAATTGCCATCAACCTAATCGATTCACCGGAATCGATGGCCATATGTAAAGCTATCGAGAAGCATTTTAATCGAAAGATCAGGTTCTTGAACGCGGAGGATTCCGATGAAATCGAAAAAATCGGTGCATAAGTGCTGGTAAACGAACTGATTTAATTATTGTATGAAATGTTCATAAGGAATTAAGTTTAGCTATTATAAATACATAAATGAATTTGTCTTCTGTTACTTTAATATAAATACTGCTGTCATTGTTGATGCTATCTGAAACCAAGGATAATTTGCTTTTACTTTTTAGCGCATTTTTGAAAAAAATACGCTATTATATTCGTTATTGCTGGCAGGCCGGCTGTCCGCGTTAGATCTCCACAACTACAATAGCTAGAGACTTCAAATTTTCACCAAAAGCTTTCTGCTATAGTGTAGATGTGCAGGCACTAGTCTATTTTGAGTTAGATTACTTGTGAGATCGTTAATTGAAGAAAATAATTTCGATATGGGTTTCGGAGGTGCTATAATTGTATCGTTAGATAGCGCTACCAGTATAAAAACTTATTATTTACTTTGTGATTTGTTTTACAAAATGAAGACGTACCGTCAATTGAAATTAAATAAAATTAATTATTTAACGCAGCCAAAATTACCCGTGAGATCGATAATTTTAAACTTCGCTAATAAAATACTGACCTGCATTACCAAAAATGCGCTTTAATCATGCATATGCTGATTTACAACTTGTTTTTAAATAGTAGGCTACTAGCAGGGGCGGACTGGGGGTACTTAAGGGCCAGGTAGAATTGCATAGGTTACGGGCCATTAAAGTATTAGTGTAGTAATGAAAGTGGGGGGGGGGAGCTCTGAGGTGCACCACAAAACCAGTGCTCTTTGCTCGAAAATCAATTACCATAGTTTTTTTTTAATTGCAGCTGATAATTAAAACGATAAAAAATGATAAATTCATTGTAAAACACTTCAATTAAATCAGAATTTTTTAATAACCTAACATCAACCCCAATTAGAGAAACGTGTTAATAATTTATTAATAGTGCAAGAAACTAAATACAGCACATACTTATAAATTTCCAACGGGCCATTATGATCTACAGGCCAGGTGGCAACCGCCACCCGCCCCCCCGGGTCAGTTCGCCCCTGGCTACTAGGATATAAACTGCTTTTGTTTTCTAAGATTTTTATGAAAGGCTTTTGTAGAAGAGCTACATTTTGAAAAATAATTTTGATCAAGTCATAGATAACAGCATTCATATTTTTACATTTGATTTTTGGCGCCTGCATACCCCCCCCCCCCCCCCCAATTCACTAATTTTTCCTTCGTTTTTATTTTTGGTTGCCTAATTTGATTTTATCGTTAGGAATTTTCTTGGGGTTTTGTTGGTCGCTTTTATACCAGTAGCGTACCTACTTTTAGAATTTTTATTTTGTGAATTATATCAAATTTCTTTATTTCAATTATATACATTTTCCGTATTCATCCTGCTCCTTTAATCCCTTACTATCGCCTGTACAGCCTGTACTTTAATGCATGTTGATAATCCACCCTACTTTCTACATTTTGTCTCAGATCTTTGGTTTTCTCGGTAGCGTCCTCTATCGTTTGTTTGTTATTTCCCGCCTTTTGGTACTTCCGTTTAGGGTCTGTTACTTTTGATTTTCCTCTAAATTTCTTCCTTGATTATCGTCTTCTCATCAGCTGGGTGTTTTAACTAATGAAGGTGCAGCGTAGGTTTTTATCTTTAACCGTTTCCAACACTGTTTTTATTTATTTGTAAAAAGGTAGCTATTAATCTCACTTTTGGGCGGTCAGCTGGCTGGCAGCAAATGCGCGACTGTAAAGCGCTTGCAGAAAGACAAGGCGTGTACATGTACCGGGGCCATGTAACTAACAACTTTTTAGGGACGGGGCTAGGTACATGATGTGAGATCGGCGACATCTGCGCGCCATCACCGAGCATGTTATACTAACGTGGTGATTTTTTCCTATCTTCTACAGTTTTGGGCCGATTGTTTTCAAATTATGGTTTCGTCGAATAGATCTTGTAAATGCGCACAGCTCCTATATATTCGGAATTTTTTCCTAGAGGCGAAATTAGCCACGTTTGCAAGGCGGGCGAACAAGACGTGTGAAGTCTTTTATTTTTTATTATTATTATTCCTCTCCTTGTTCTGAGTCCTCAACGGGCTCAGAAAATTCCCATCTTTGTCACAGATGAAAAATTAAATCTTATTCATGAAGTGGAGTCAAAACAGGCTAATTGAATACCGATCTCGATCTGCTACACAACAATACGGTGAAAGTCCCTTCGATATCACACGTTGATAATTTTTTTTACTTTCTATCCTCCCCTTTTTACACTCGACGTCGACCCTATCATCCCCTATGGACTCAGCGTAAACAATAGCTGCGCTTATACCTACCTACTATACCATAATATAATTATCCTCATTTTTATTTTTTTTCATCCCCCGCAGTTATATCTATAAAAAAATGAAAAATAACCCCAACAAGTATTTATTATGGCCTTATACAGGGTGTCGTAAATTGAGTAGGATTGCTATCTTTGTTATTTTTATACTTACAGATTCGGTTAAATTCGCAAAGTTGTGTAGTTTTTGATGCGATATTTTGAAAAACATAAATCATTTCATAGATAATAATTGGAAAAAGAGTGATAATCGCCATTTTTAAAAAGTTCAAATATTTTAGTAACAAAGTTTCAAATAAAAGTTCGATGGGATAAATTCAACGGACGTAGGAAAACCTTTGCGAACTGGCAGTTTTCAAGATAGGTATTGACATCAACTTTCTTATTTTAAATAGACACCATATTGGATTTGTACTATCAGTATCAATACAGTTTTTTTTTTCTCTTTCCAATCAATCATAATCATTTCCTTAGTCTTCGCGTATTTTCTTCCCCTGATTTATTTCATTTCTAAAAAAAAACACAACAAACAATTTGTCAACTATACAGGGTGTCCTTTTTTCGAGCTCCAACATGGGGATCTCGGTTATTGGAAGAGAGCAAATTTGTGTATTTTGGTGGTTCAACAATATGTCAATACGAAAATTCAAAGGTTGCCGAGATTTTTGAAAAAAACGAAATTTTCAATTTTAGATTTTCCTTTTTATTTCGAAAACGACAAAAAGTGGACGTTTTAAACCAAAACGTTATTAAAGCAATTTTTTTATGATGAATCCAAATATGTTATCGAAAAATTCAAAGCACTCTAGACTTGGAAGTTACAGTAGATAACTTTTTTATTTCTTATGGCGGCCATATTGGACTTTAGCATTTTTGAAAAAAGCTCGTTTTTCTGATTGCAGTGATGTATCATATGATACGTTTTAACTTTTAAGATTCCGTCAAATTATGGAAAAGGAGAGTGCTTTGGAAAGAACATGCATTCATCTTTTGTTTAACAAATACACATCTTTGATGGTTCAGTATAAGTACCTAGTTGTTGCTTTTCCTGCTCAAAATTATCTTTACATAGAAATTTTGGCGAGTTTGGTTCGTCAGCTAAAAAAATCTGGTAGACTCAGAAATGAAAACGAACGTAAAATTCGTTTTCCGTCCTGGGTTTAGCAACAGATTTTCTTAGCTGACGAACCAATCTCTCCCAAATTGAAAATTAAAATTAAGGCGTAACAGATTTTTAACATATCTCGTTTTTCTTTATTTGAAAACTGCATTTTATCGAGAAACTTGTAATAAATAGACGAAAAAAGCAACAACTACTGAAATTTTAACGAAATGTCAAAGATGTGCAGGTATTTATTGTTAAACAAAAGAATGAAAATGTTCTTTCCAAAGCCACCTTTCGCAAAAAAGGTTTTTTTTCATATTTTGAATTAATCAATTCGCGTTGGGTCATCAGTGCGACCAGTTTAAAATTTTGATTATTTCACGTCAGAACTACGGAAAGTGTAACCCGAGGTGTAACCGTACGTTTGAAAACACTAATTAGGGTAGGAAACTACCAAGGAATAACCACGTAGTTTGCATCGCTAAGTAAATTTGTGCGGCATTCACCAAGGGCGAAGGTTGGTACGAGTATTTTTCGGGCATAATTAATAGAAAACGCCCGCTTAGAAATACGGGTGCGAAGTATTAAAATGAACGCGAGTTTTACAGTAGAATCAATTAATATCTGAAAAAAGAATAAGGAACTGTGCCATTTTTTACACCGCAAAGGGAATTATTATGCAACCAGCCTCATATTGTGAAACACGCATTTTCATCGCATTAATTGGAGTCGTGTTCGGTCAAGGACAGATCAATTAAACGCGTTGGGCCATTTTTTGCATGCAGCTGCGTCGCCGTCAATGAAAAGAAGGGGATGAAACTTTGATTGTTTTTCAAAAATTGCAATTACCAACAATTGTTTTACTATAAGTATGCTGGTCAACAATTCAGGTGCTTTTTGTTTATCCTTTATAAAATATTGCAGTTGTTTCTAACAATCGGTACAGGTCTCTTTTTTCACAAATGATTTATTAATTTACAACTTGATGAAAGATTACGTGAAACATTTTCGATTTACTTGAATATGACGTAACAGTCATCGGCGGTGTAGATAAGAGGACCTTCAAATGCAAACATTAGGCGTTTGTCATGAGGGTTAAGATTAGTAATGCAATTCGAAAATAACAGTTAGTCGGTGTTGAGAAATCGCGAGAGCAACTCTAAATGTAAGTGTATTTATATTCATGTTGGGGTCTGACTGTTGACGACAATACAACGTAGAAAAATTCGTTTACGAAGGAGGCGCGTGTCATCACGAATTAAAACAAATGAGTAATTATTCAATGTTGGGGTGGTTTGTAATAAACATTCAACAAATTCACTAAACTACGTACTCTTCAAAATAATTAAAACGTACCCCTATTTAAGATATACAGGGTGCCCATTATATGTATGGATATCTCGGTAAATGTCGACGGTATGCAAAATTTTTCTTTCTAAGGGATGAAAATTGTTTAACATCTTATTTCTCATAATAGGTAAGGCGCAGCATTCCATTGTTTTTATTTCAGAAAACAAATGAGTGACGAAAAACAATTGAATTTATTTAAATAGCAATGCACACTTTCATTAGGCTTAGATTTTTTTCTCAATTTTTTCGTAAAAACTGAATTTTTTTTTAATAAATTCAGAAAAACAGTTGACGGATTACTCTAAAAAAATTAAAAACCACATTGTAAAAAACAAATGGAAAGTGATTAAAATTGAGGTGTAATGAGAGAAAATTCTCAAATTGATGTCCAACCTGTATTTCCCAATGAATCATCAAACATTCCAATCCAAGTGCCATTTTTTGGAGGTCACTTTTGAGATTTGATACAAAGTTGGTAATTTTTAAACGGCTTGCATATTTTGACGTAAATTTTTGCATCCTTTTCTCTGGTTACATTGATGTAGTACAACCTATATTTTTCTTTTTATATAAATATAGTGCTATTCATTAAGAAGTAGAAGTAAACACACTTAGGTAAATCCCTATGTCTACTTAATAAATATCACTGTATATTATGTCATAGATATTTTTCAAAATTTTGAAATTACATTTTTCTATCGTTAGCCATATTTTGATTGGTATCCGCTGCCATAGTTACCATGGATGAATAAACAAAACAAAATCTCCATGAATCCATGGCCTACCATTTAAAAACAGTAATAAATAAGGTTTTTATTGAGTTTCGTGGGTTAAAATAAAAAAAATGTAGGCTGTAATATATCAATGTACTCAGGAAAAAGGATGCAAAAAATGTACGTTGAAGGATGGAAGGAGAGGAACTTTCGGGATAGGTCAAGTAGTGGAATTTCTTTTTATACAGGCCGATTCAAATTCGAGGGCCAGCATCGGGATCTCGGGAACTGTAGGAGATAGATATAGGTAGTTTAAATTTGGCAAAGTTGCGTATTTTGATGCTTAACAAAATGCAGTTTTAAAACTGAAAAAATGTGGACTACTTTCGGAGATATGTATCTGGAAAAAAACGAAATTTTGCAAAGATTTTTTGTCTTTTGTCATTTGAAAAAGAATTTTTTTCTGAATTCAAAAATGTAAACATTACTATCTTTTAATAAGAATTAGCGCTATTAATTCGTAAAAACCCAAGAAACTACGTACGTACATTCCCCAAGACAAGGTTTTTTAGGCAAAAAAGAAGATACTCGTATTTTAACAATTTTAAAATTTTTTGTGAGGTTTACATTTTTGAAATCAGAAAACAATTCTGTATCAAATGACACAAAAAGTAAACATTACTTCCATAAGAAAAAACAAAGTTGATGATGGTTAACCAAAGACGAAACGTCGGATTTGAAATTTAAAACTAGTGCGAGGCCCCTCCGGGGCCGAGTACTTTAATTTCCGAGTCAAGTAATGTCATTTTACTGACGAGTTTTGTATTACATTTTACCCAAAATCGTATTTTAATATCAAATTTCAATTTTCATACGGAACTTTTGATTTATGCCTATCTGTCAATGATGACAGGACAGGAGTCATTATAGACATTTAGCAATGTGACAGGTGCGGCAGGAAAAGTGACAGGTGCGGCCGGTAAAGTGACAGGTGACAGGAAAAGTAGACTGGCCTGCCTGCGTCATGGAAACCAACATTTTCCTGACATAAAGCAGGCATGAAAATTAAGGTTTCATGGCGATTTTGGGTAATATAAACTTACTGTACTGATCATATCACGCCTACTTGGAAAGCCTAGTGGCATACGGTATTGAATTTTGGCTCCGTGGATTGCGATACAATTTTTACAACACAAGAACGAAATCTTGACGAACAGACTGGCAAGGATAACGAATTTGTTTCCTACGCCTGTATAAGGGCTCGGATACACACATGAGGTTAACTAAGAGATTTATTTTCATTTTGGTAATTATTATTACTTATAGTATCGATTCATTAATTAGAATGTGTATATGTAGGAAATAAATTTACTTCATTTTATAGCAGATCTTAAATTGAAATTTTAGTTGGTTTGAATGAGTAGGCTAAACGTTTCTTTAACCGTAAGGGTAGCCAAAGTGAAACAAATCATTTTCCAGTGTCGTCTATCATTCTTATTAAAAATGGGACGCGGAGCACGATATAAATGAAGTTCATCACAGAATACAATATGTATTGAAACGACGGGAGAACCTAAGCTTGTTGTTTTTGACGTCTAAATTAAATACCTACTAATATCAACCGCCCCTGTTGGCCTTACAGTATATACAGGGCGTTCTTGATCAAGTGGTAGTCTTAATTACGTAATTAATTAAAATGTTTTGATTATATGCTAAACTAAATTGGTATGGATTAGCGAAAACCGTCAGAAATAACTCAATATTATAATTTATTATTAAACAATACAATACCTCATTCTAAAAACATTTTCTATGCACAATAACCGGACCGCATTCATCATACTCCTGCTTCGAAATCCACATTTGCTGAAACGTCGTCAAGCTGGCCAAAATACTTCCCCCAATCCAAACCGAATATTTCCTTTCCGGTGGAGCGATGATTTTGATCTTCATCGAAGCGGGCGCGAGGATCGCGATTTCTTTCTGTATACGATCCGCTATACCGGTAAACATCGTGCTTCCCCCTGACAGGACGGTGTTGGCATATAAATCTTTGCGTATGTCGAGATCGCATCTCATTATGGAGTTGTAGGTGGTTTCGTGTATGCCCGAGGTTTCCATTCCCAAAAATGACGGTTGAAACATCGCCTCCGGGCAGCGGAACCGCTCACTTCCGATCGTTATGATCTGGCCGTCCGGCAACTCGTAGGACTTTTCGATTTGATTGGAGCTGTTCGCCAAGGCCAACTCTTGCTCGAAGTCAACGGCCACGTAGCAGATCTTCTCTTTGAGATCTCGGATGATTTCGCGTTCCGCAGTTGTAGTAAAGCTATACCCTCGTTCCGTCAGAATTTTCATTAGGTAGTCCGTTAAGTCGCGACCTGCGAGGTCCATCCTGAGGATGGCATGGGGAAGAGCGTACCCTAACGGGGGAGGAATTAGATTAATGGTCACCCAAAATCGTAGTTACCTTCGTAAATTGGAACCGTGTGTGATACTCCGTCGCCCGAATCCATGACAATTCCCGTAGTCCGCCCGCTCGCATACAGGGACAGAACGGCTTGAATTGCGACGTACATGGCGGGCGTGTTGAAAGTTTCGAACATGATCTGGGTCATTCGCTCCCTGTTCATTTTGGGATTCAAGGGCGCCTCGGTTAGAAGCACCGGGTGTTCTTCGGGAGCTATGCGCAGTTCATTGTAAAACGTGTGATGCCAGATCTTCTCCATGTCATCCCAGTTGCTGATGATGCCATGCTCGATGGGATATTTCACTGTTAACACGCCTCGCTTGCTTTGCGCCTCGTCGCCAACGTACGAATCTTTCTGGCCCATTCCCACCATCACCCCCTAAAAGTACTCATGTATTACAGCGGAATCAGTAAATTATATCGGACTTGATATCGCGGACGACCAACGATGCTGGGAAAGACGGAACGTGGCGCATCATCCCCCGCAAATCCCGCCTTGCACATTCCGGACCCATTATCAACCACTAACGCCACTAAATCATCGTCGGCCATTTCGAAGTCGTTAGAGAAAACTCACATTAAGTACTGACCGTAATTATAATTACCTATTTCTTTTATATATTAAAATCCCCTACCGTAACAATAAATTACCGTTAAAAGAGATCGCGCTTAAATATTCAATATGTACCTATAATCATCTTGTGGTAAATAGTTCTCCATTACCACTCGAAAAATCACGCATCGCACGCTCCGTAGGTACATTTTGGTTCCTCCAATAGGATGCCGCGCACCCCACATGCTAATTAGGGGAAAGTCTTTACGAATGAAAGTCCTTTCTACGCCCAATTTTGGAAATTATCTCTTTTACGGGAATATAACAGTTTTTTGACAATTTAAAAGAAAATGAAGCTGTAAGCGTATACAGCCGACAGTTTGCCGTAATTAGTTGGTCTTTGTAATTGTAATTAGCAATTATGTGTACCTTATGTTATAATTAATTATGTAGTTCTGCTAAATGCTCTACTTCCTTTATTCATAAGTAAGTATTTACACGAGGCGAATTTGTTATCATCTGTTGTACGTCTTAGAAAAATAGAAAACCAATTTGCGAGTGCCACGGATAATATTTTAAATAATCTTGTCATTTAACACTCATTGAGGTGTATAGCTATGTCATGTTATGAGTAGAAATTTGCGTCTTTCTCGCTTTTCTCAAGCCATGCACTGAACTGAAGTGGATCAAAACCATTGCTTTTCCACGCTCCTTTCTTCATATACGGGGTGTTTTTTTGGGCAGCTTTAGTTAAACGTTTCTGGGAAAGTAAAATAACTTTGTTATTTTAAATGGAAACCCCTATTTAGATATCGAGTTGTGGGTATTAACAGAACTGAAATTTTACGTAGAATCCAAAAATCCAATAAAAAATAGGGGTTACTATTTAAAATAACGAAGTTACTATCTACTTCCGGTGTTTCCGGAAGTGCGGCTATTTTGAAAATATTTTACATCGATTCGGCTTTCAACTCCTAAGTACAAATTTTCAAAAACCTACCTATTTCACTTTCCCAGAAACGTTTAACTAAAGCTCCCAAGAAAACACCCTGTATACAGTGTACAGGGTGAGTTTTTTTCATTTTAAGCATTAGGATCCCGGAAACCGTAAGACATAGACGGTTAAAAAGAGTTATTCAAAATACGATTTTGTTTTTTGAAAAAAATCCACAGTTTACTAGATATGAACGAAATTCATATTTAATGATTTTTCTTTTAAATGTTCTAGACTTCTAGAATCGTTATTATTAGAAATACAGAAATATGCAAACAACAAAAATTGTAGATTTTTGTCCGCTTAAAAACCTACATTTATTAATTTCCATTCTTCTTTTATAATCTTCGAGCATAACGTTCTTTTTAAAAATGCCAAAGCTATGACTACCATTTAAAAATATTAAAGTTTGTATAACACAAAAGTTGTAAAATATGGAAGGAAATTGGTATGTTCATCAGGTTAAGCATTAAAATGTCTAAAACTTTTATTCGTGTCATTTTGTGGTATTTTTAATAATAACGATTCTACAACATCAGTTATATGAAAAATCACTAAATCTGTTTTTCGCTCATATCTAGTAAACTGTGGATTTTTTTTCAAAAAACAAAAGCATATCTTAAATAAGCTCTTAAAACACTTTCCTCATTTAACCGAATCTGTATGTCTTATGGTTTGCGAGATCCCAATGCTTAAAATGAAAAAAAAACTCACCCTGTATACGAAACACGCATATCGAAAACGCTCAACGCGTTATGGCCGAAGCTGAAAGACCAAACACCGAAATTAAATATCGTTACGTGTTATGGTCGTTAGCTTATGCCCATAACGCGTTTTGGTAATGTTACTAGCGACCACAACGCGTTTTGTTCGTTTGAAGAATGACCATGATACATTGAATTATTTATTAAACGACTAACATGTTTCAAAAATATAATATAATAATATTTGAAAATAAACGTCATGTATACGGTATTGCGGTCTAAACACCAAAAATTATGATGGGACATACTGTATATGACAATATATCAATTTATTAAGTGTAAATCAGGGGTTTATCTACGAATAAGCACAGAGATGATTCTATTTGAATTTGTCCTGTAAATTAATTGAAAGTTAAAAGTTTGTACCGTCTGAAGAGCCACCGGCAATTCGTCATTTTATTCATCAAGTTAATTAATTATAATTAATGTCGAGATTTTCGGGCGTTCTAATTTCGACGCCGAAGTAAAAAGTAAATAGTTCTCAATTTATTGTTAATGTACGTTTAATGAAAAAATTCACAACAGAGATCACATCAATAACACGGTTGCTTTCAGTAGAACGTAAATTAAACTTATTCACAATTCAAGCGGGAGTATTTAGCTCGTGGTCACATTTCGGAAGTGCGCCCTATAAAAGGCGAAGCCAATAGTTTTGTACCGCACCATGGAGTTTTGCGAGAAAATGCTCCAACCGTTTTTAAATTGTCAGCGCCCACTAGCAGTATTTCCTTGAATAACGCGCAAATAAATTGGGCCAACTTATCCTGGGCTTTCGTCAGTACAAATATACAGGTTGTTTCACGCAAACCGTTACATAAAAGTGTTAATGCTTTCATTAATAATTTAAATCTACAGGATGTCGATGGCAACTTTCTTATTTTAAATAGAACATCATGTATTTTATTGTATTTTCGAAATCTACATGAAAATCTACGGCGTTTGATACCACATTTTCCTATACTTGGCATCAAAGGTATTCAAGTATTAGCGCACTCTACCTATGGCTTCGTTGATTTGAATTTCAAAAAGTATTCCAAAATCAATAATATTAACTTGATGCTTGCTTGATGATGATTTAAATTTTGATCGCCCTTCTACAAGGTGTTTTAAAACTAATGCTCAATTTTAATAACTTCAAACCTTAAAAAGTTGATTTTTTCAAATGAAACCTGCTTTATTTTTTTGCACTTTCAAATGTCGAAAAAATTCCCATCAATTATTCCCTATACCTATTTGTTATGTTTTCTGTTTTATTTTAGAATATTTTCTAAGATTGTGACTGTTATGCATAATTTTCTTAGGCCTTGAAATAAATGCGTTAGTAGATGTATTGTACCGTTATTCGAGACTTTACATTTAAAAAAACGGATTTCAACATGACGGAGCGCCCTTCAACCGACCATTTGCATAGTTTTACTAAAAATTTTCTCAAGTTCCTGTAAAGTGTTTTCAAATTCCCCTCAAATCTATGTCATCTACTACCCCTAAACACATCTACTAACCCCATACGCAATCTACAACCTCACAGAAAACACCGTAATTAAAACCCGACCAAAAAGTAGGTACGTTTTTATACATGAAATCTATCATTAGAAAATACGTTGCGCTTATGGAGCGCCAGAACCCCCCTTGTTACCTTCGTTCCCTTCAAATTTCTCTCAATTTTCTTTTCAATATTCTCCATTTCCCTAGCCCTTCGTGTCAAATTTTCTTCTGATTCGTTCCACGTTCCCCTCACTTTCCTGTCACGCGTTTCCCTAAAATGAGTTTTCATTGAAATGTTGTGTCTATTTCTAGTTACACGCGAATATTCGTGCCTTCAGAGATGCCTTTGGAGAAGTGATAGCGGTCATACGGATACGATCTACCAGCAAATCGATCTTTGGAGTCACCGTGGTGGAATACACGAGTTGATAGGTATGTTCAAAAAAATATTTCATTTTATGGGCTGCTTGATTTGATATTTTCTGTTCAATTTTAACTGATCGATACCAATCTAGAAATCTTGGATCGATACAAAGTGTCTAGTGTTTCTGGATCTTTGACATTCGTGGTCCGCTTTCTTCCATACCTGTTACCAGTTTTGAGCATGGTAGAATTTAAAAAAAATTTTAAAAACCTGTTTACTAATTCAGGATTTGAGTATTGGAAAAGGGGTTGGGCTGGACCCAAGGAATTAGATTGATTTTCTTTCATATATTCTTCGTTTGATATCCCAGCGTTGTGCCCCTAGCTTGTGGGGGTTGGCAGGCGAGGTTTTTATCTCCACCTAGAACGTGGAATATAGATCCACGCAACTTAACATAGGTACCTACTACATATAATAAAGTGTGGCGCAGTTCAATTAAAGCTGAACTGTGGTGCTAAGGGTCCCTGGTTCAAATCCAGGTTCGGGCATGGATATTTGTAAATGTATAGTGGGTTGGGTTGGTAGAGCAGCCTTGGTTGAAACCCCGCCCACTCAAAAATATCTACTTCGAGTTGCGCTAACGTTTAGTAAAAATTTGTAGTAGCTCTTAATTTATTTTGCGAGTACCTACCACTTTATTTATTTAATTCATTTTGTATATTCGAGTTCCGTGTCTATTTATTTACCAGGTAAAGTTTATCAATTCAATTTTACGATGTTAAATTTGTGCATTTATATGAGTTCCAAATTATGCAAACCCGTTACGTTTTTTGCCATTTTGTTAAGTACTGCCATTGAATAAGCACTTTAAAGAAGTATAACTACATAGGAAAACCTGAAATTGGTGTAAGGTGTGTTGCATACACTGCAAAGTGGTTAATTACCATAAATATTGAAGGATATTTGGCCTCGGGCGGTAAATAATGACTATTTTAAACAGGGAAACCGTTATACTTAGGAGACTTCGTTTTCCTTGTTTATCAGAGTTGAACAGTGTTGTCATATTTACCAGATCCTTATATGGAGCTAGGTAAAGTTTGATTGTTTATTATGTAAAGATAATGGTCCTTAGAACAGTTCTTGTTGTTTTCTTATTAGATTAAACTACATTTTTTACTTTATTTATTGTTCCTTATGATCTTACATTTCAGATTGATCCTCCCTTACATAATATTGTTATTGGCATTGAATAAAAGCTTATTCAATATTTTAATCTAGTTTATTCAAACTCAAAGCGCTTGCCAAAAATCTGGCAACGTTGGAATTTTAAAGTCGGTAACTAGCTTTAAATTTGTGGTTCACTTTCCCCCACAACAGAGGGACGACAGAATCCTGGACAGATTTTCTTATTTCATCAGTTAACCGGGCGTTATTCTTCTTTAAGGTGCTTATTCAATGGTACTGCAAAGGTTCCTTATGTACAGAGTGGTGTTCAAATTCGCAGTTCACAATTTGTATCTCGGAAACAGTGAGAGACACAGTGTAGCTAGGTTAAATCGGGGCAAAGTTGCCCCTTTTGGAGTCTAAAAAATAGCTTGAAATTAAAAAAAAAAAATAATAATAACGTGTCACACTCTATACCTTTACATAAATTTACAAGAAAATGTCAAAATGAAAAGTTTTACATTCACTTCTCAACAAAACATCCACGGGTAACTAGATCTTGAGGCGACTTAGATTGGACCTATTTGCTATTCTGAAATGGCCGCCGATTTGATTCTGTGGAGTGTTTCCTGTTCCAAAAACACTTGGCGAGAATTGTTCTGACTTACCTGATTGTTTCTTTCAAGGCCAGCCTAGGACCAGAAACAAATTAAACAACAGTGTTACGTTAGAGTGACGTTTCTGTCTATTTATTGCTTTATGATCCAGTCATTTTGGAGTGTCGTTTCTGCATCTTCAAGACACTTTGGTACTACCATAGAGTACAAACCTTAAGAGTACAAATCCTATACAGGGTGGTGATTTGCTAAAACCCGCATCTTTTTTAATAATCTGTGATGGCATGGAATTTTTTAATACAAAAACTACGCTAATATCCGTCATGCCATGGAATGTCTGCTATAAGACAAATCAAATTCTATCAAACAGTATAATATTTAGAACAGCAAATTCAACATAAAGAAAGACCAAATTACTAAAAACGGTTTCCTAATATAACAATTTACAATAAATGTTCGAATTTAAGTCACCATTAACTGCAAGACAGTATCCAAGTCGATCATAAAATCCATTTCGAATTGTTGCTAATTTATAACTGGATATCTTTTTGTTTTAGAAAATTCCATGGCATCGCAGATTATTGAAAAAGATGCGGGTTTTATTTTTCCAATTTTCCGTCTTTATATGAAAAATATTGAAAACTAATACGGTTGATTGGCGTAAAGGTTTTTTTCTAAAAAAAAACATTAATACATTTTTGCTCTAAAATAATTTGGGGAGCCAATAATCGTATGCTATGAATTTTACATTGAAATCCCTATGATGCGTTACGCTAGTGACCACCCTGTATACAACCACAGAATACATATCATATTGTATTGTTATAATCTGATTCCCAAATTGTTTTCGAGGTTATGACAACTTCTGTTTGTATTTTAACTTTCAGGAAATAAAAATGGGAAGTAATACAGTTGACAAAGCGTTAACAATGCTTCGCTCCTTACCCCGTGTCTGTTTAAAGAACATTCGAGACAATCCCGGTTCTAAAATAGTAAGTGAATGTAAATCAAATTTCTAACCTAAAAAATTATCTTTTAGACACAGAAAAGGGGTCGCGGACAACACGGCGGTGATAAACACGGTGCTGGAAATAAAGGATCCGGCCAACGACAGAATTACATGCGGCTTGGCTACGAAACGGGAAACCGTCCGTTCTATCTCCGTTTCGGATTCGAACCGTACTACAAAGGTCACCAGTAAGTTTCTAGCGAGTCGAGTTCAGTTACATTACTCCCCGTTTTAGTCTAAGAAGACAATATCCGCCGGTTTCGTTGCTACAACTCCAAACGATGGTGGACACAAACCGAGTTGACGTCTCCAAACCGATCGATTTAGTCACACTTTGTAACACCGGGTTATACAGAATATTCCCCGATCAACACCAGTTCGGAATTAATCTCACAGATGAAGGCGCCGACATCTTCCAGGCGAAGGTCAACATCGAAGTGCAATGGGCGAGCGAGCTTGTCATTGCCGCCGTGGAACGGGCTGGCGGTGTTATAACGACGGCGTATTACGACATGCATAGTCTACAGTGCATGATTAATCCCCAGAAGTTCTTCGAAAGAGGTGCGTAGATCGGCATGTTGTTTTCTATATGTTCAAAAAAGTGGTTTTGAATTGTTTTGTTTTGAAATATGGATTTTCAAAAAATGCTTTGAAATCCGGTTCAAATTTTGAAATATGCACAGGGCACACTTGATGGACGACCTTGTCTAACTGCAAATTTTGGGTTTTTTGGTAACCCAAATGAAACAAGTTCATCAACTAGGGATACTCCCATAGATCGGACCCCTACTATTTTTACAATTTTTGCGGCTTTATATCTTCCGCTCGCTAACTCTACGTCTTCTTTCAGGCATACCAATTCCACGTCGCATGGTACCTCCCACCGATGCAGCTGACTACTACGCCGATGCCGCAAAGAGGGGATACTTGGCAGATCCAGAGAAGGTCTCCGAAGAACGACTGGTGCTCGCCCAAAAGTACGGGTATAACTTACCTGTTATAGAAAACGACCCCGACTACCCCATGCTCACCGAAAGAAAGGACCCCAGGCAGATATTCTTCGGATTAAATCCCGGTTGGGTGGTCAATCTGAAGGATAAGGTGATTTTGAAACCCTTAGAAGAAGAATTATTACAATATTATAATAGTTAATGTAATCCACTGTATCTTGTTTAAAATAATTAAATACCGTTTTAAATGTCTCTGTAGAGTAGTGTTGATAGGCCAATAGGTAGGTTAAAAAGCTCAGGAAATAGGCGGAAGAAGCGCTGGAAAAGGAATAAGCTCGGGAATGTGCAAAAAAGGCTCGTAAGTTTAGAAAGGACTCCACAAAAAATTGAAAAAGCTCAGGAATTTTTTCCTAAAAGTTCTGGAATAAGATTTAAAAAGCTCTGGAATAAATTTAAAAAAGTTCTGGAATAAATGTTTACTCCTAAAAGCTCTGGAATAAATTAAAAAAGCTCTGGAATAAATTTTTACTCCTAAAAGCTCTGGAATAAGATTTAAAAAGCTCGGGAATAAATTTTTACTCCTAAAAGCTCTGGAATAAATTTGAAAAAGCTCTGGAATAAATTTTTACTCCTGAAAGCTCTGGAATAAATTTGAAAAAGCTCTGGAATAAATTAAAAAAGCTCTGGAATAAATTTTTACTCCTAAAAGCTCTGGAATAAGATTTAAAAAGCTCGGGAATAAATTTTTACTCCTAAAAGCTCTGGAATAAATTTGAAAAAGCTCTGGAATAAATTTTTACTCCTGAAAGCTCTGGAATAAATTTGAAAAAGCTCTGGAATAAATTAAAAAAGCTCTGGAATAAATTTTTACTCCTAAAAGCTCTGGAATAAGATTTAAAAAGCTCGGGAATAAATTTTTACTCCTAAAAGCTCTGGAATAAATTTGAAAAAGCTCTGGAATAAATTTTTACTCCTGAAAGCTCTGGAATAAATTTGAAAAAGCTCTGGAATAAATTAAAAAACTCCTAAAAGCTCTGGAATAAATTTTTACTCCTAAAAGCTCTGGAATAAGATTTAAAAAGCTCTGGAATAAATTTTTACTCCTAAAAGCTCTGGAATAAATTTGAAAAGCTCTGGAATAAATTTTTACTCCTAAAAGCTCTGGAATAAATTTTTACTCCTAAAAGCTCTGGAATAAATTTGAAAAAGCTCTGGAATAAATTTTTACTCCTAAAAGCTCTGGAATAAATTTTTACTCCTAAAAGCTCTGGAATAAGATTTAAAAAGCTCTGGAATAAATTTTTACTCCTAAAAGCTCTGGAATAAATTTGAAAAGCTCTGGAATAAATTTTTACTCCTAAAAGCTCTGGAATAAATTTTTACTCCTAAAAGCTCTGGAATAAATTTTTACTCCTAAAAGCTCTGGAATAAATTTTTACTCCTAAAAGCTCTGGAATAAATTTTTACTCCTAAAAGCTCTGGAATAAATTTTTACTCCTAAAAGCTCTGGAATAAGATTTAAAAAGCTCTGGAATAAATTTTTACTCCTAAAAGCTCTGGAATCAAATTTAAAAAGCTCTGGAATAATTTTTTGCCCCTCAAAGCTCTGGAATATATTAAAAACAGCTTTCATTTTGTGTCTTAAAAGCTCTGGAATCATGTTAATGGACTACAAAAGCCTGGAATTAAAGCTATTGTATCGAAAGGTCTACAACGTACCCCGAATTAGGTTTGATCTAATTGGGTATTTATTGAGAGCTCTGCAACAAATTTTATTAAAAAGTTTATTGTATCAATGTTTGTTTACATTTTAAAGTGTTGGATTGGATGCTTCCATAATAAACCACCACCTACACCTGAACAAGTAGATCGTAAACGGGGTTGTTTCAAAACATCATATCTCAACAAATAGGAATTAGGTAGAATGAAATATTATGGAAGCACTTTCAAATTAGCGATGACATTGCAAATGTACATATGTTTTTAAATATTGTCTAAAAACTAAAACGTAACAAATTACGAATATTGCAATATTTTACCTACTACCTTAATATAATAAAATACGTTTTTCCACTGCTTTGCGGCAGATGGGACACTCCGACATCTGATCCCCACACATCTGACACAATCCGTGGCCGCAAAGGAAGATCATATTCTTCAGGCGATCCAAACATACAGGACACATGGTCTAAAATTAAACGGTTACTTCCGTGTCGTACGCAATTTGGAAATGTACCTGCTCCTTTATATCCTGCAACTGTTGCTGCAACTTCTGGATGTCGTTGCTGGTATCCCGATTTCCGTTGTTCATGACCGGACCTTGTATGTTGAGGTCGCTAGTTGAGGGAGTCGGTTCGATTTCAATCTCGGGCTTGACCTCGCAAATCGTACCCAAGCCACCGCTGCATACGGTCATGGGAACCATTAGCTCAATTTGTGCCCGACACATGACGCACTTCTTCATAATTTGCGCGCAGCTCTCGCAGGCGCACATGTGACCGCATGGCTTGAACAGCACGGACGACTTCTTGTCGGAACACACCATGCATTCTTCAATCTGTAAATTCAGGTTGATAAAGTCGGTCTCTAATTGTTCGCAGTGTACAAGTCACGTTGAGAAAAATAAAAATGGAAAATCAAGTTGCCATGTTAAGGACATCAGTTAAATCCAAAGCCATTCAAAATTTAATTTTGACTTACTTTTATACGACTGACAACAGATTCTCGACAAATCAAGCATTTCTTCACTCTCGGCGCGCAGGTGGAACAACAACTGACATGACCGCAAGGTTGGAAGAGTATGTCACGCTTCACATCAGAACAAACGAGGCACTCGTCCATGGTCGAGGAGATATTGGTGTTTTGAAGATTCTGGGGTACCATCTCGACCTCCTCCCCTTTCTTCTCCTTGTGGCACTTGGTTAGCATTTTACATAAATTAGGATCTGGACATAAGTCGAGAGGGGTTTGGCCCTTCTTATTCTTAATTGTTAAGTCTGCTCCGTTCCCAGCCAGGTAACAGGCAATACTAGCGGATGACTTCTTGTCGGATCCTTGAGTGCCTAAGCCCATGAGTAATTTACCGACGTCCTGCACATCTTGCAACTGGCGCAGTTGGGAGAGGGTGTGGTGGCGGAGAGCTTCGTGCAGAGGAGTATCACCGTCTTTATCCGCAATGTTGAGATTGGCCGTTTCCTTGACCAAAAGCTGAAAGTTACGTTAGAGAGATGAGGCGGATCAAGAGATGTAGGATACTTACTCGAACGATTTGTGTGTGTTGGCGTTCGACCGCCAGATGAAGAGCGGTTTGCAAGTTGACATTCTGCAGATCCATGTTAGCCTTTCCGTTAAGGACCAACTGCTCTGCCACCTCGACGTGATTATTTAATGCGGCCAAGTGTAACGCTGTGTAGCCGTCGTCTTTCTTTTCATCCACAATCCATGGTCGAGGAAGTTTCGCCAAGAGAATTTTCATAGCACTAGAAATAGAAACACTGTTAACAACTAAAAAAATAAACAATTTCTGATAGTGAAAAAAAGTCTGCTGTTTTATTTTACAAAGTTCAAGTCTGGTAACAATTAAATAATCCATAATTTCAAACAGTTCCAAGATTGGGCTACTAGTTCAAAAGTTACATCCCTTGGAATTTTCTGTCGAAATTGGTTTCTAGTCTATAACTTTTTATTGAGAAGTCTGATCGAAAAAGTACGAATTGTTTTGGATTCTACGCCCCAAAATTAATAAGAAAAAGTGTTTCCCCGAGAAATTTTGGTGCAGTCGATTTTTGGTAAAAAAGGAAGGTTGTACACTGCCTTTTTTTTGGCTCGAAAAAGAAATTGTCTCAGATCGTCCCGGAAAAAAATTTTTCTTATAGAACGTGGCCTGTAGAATCCATAATTTCAAACAGTTCCAAGTTTGGGCTACTAGTTCCAAAGTTACATCCCTTGGAATTTTCTGTCGAAATTGGTTTCTAGTCTATAACTTTTGATTGAGAAGTCTAATCGAAAAAGTACGAATTGTTTTGGATTCTACGCACCAAAATTAATAAGAAAAAGTGTTTTCCCGAGAAATTTTGGTGCAGTCAATTTTTGGTAAAAAAGGAAGGTTTATACACTGCCTTTTTTTGAACCCCGAAATAAAAATTGTCTCAGATCAACCCGGAAAAAAATTTTCTTATAGAATGTGGCCTGTAGAATCCATAATTTCAAACAGTTCCAAGATTGGGCTACTAGTTCAAAAGTTACAGCCCTTTGAATTTTTTTTTCGAAATTGGTTTCTTATAACTTTTGATTGAGAAGTCTGATCGAAAAAGTACGAATTGTTTTGGATTCGACGCCCCAAAATTAATAAGAAAAAGTGTTTTCCCGAGAAATTTTGGTGCAGTAGATTTTTGGTAAAAAAGGAAGGTTATATACACTGTCTTTTTTTTGGCTCCAAAAAAAATTGTCTCAGATCGTCCGGAAAAAAACATTTTCTTATAGAATGGGGCCTGTAGAATCCATACTTTCAAACAGTTCCAAGATTGGGCTACTAGTTCAAAAGTTACAGCCCTTTGAATTTTCTTTCGAAATTGGTTTCTAGTCTATACCTTTTGATTGAGAAGTCTGATCGAAAAAGTACGAATTGTTTTGGATTCTACGCACCAAAATTAATAAGAAAAAGTGTTTTCCCGAGAAATTTTGGTGCAGTCGATTTTTGGTAAAAAAGGAAGGTTATACACTGTCTTTTTTTTGGCTCCAAAAAAAATTGTCTCAGATCGTCCGGAAAAAAACATTTTCTTATAGAATGGGGCCTGTAGAATCCATAATTTCAAACAGTTCCAAGATTGGGCTACTAGTTCCAAAGTTACATCCCTTGGAATTTTCTGTCGAAATTGGTTTCTAGTCTATAACTTTTGATTGAGAAGTCTGATCGAAAAAGTACGAATTGTTTTGGATTCTACGCACCAAAATTAATAAGATAAAGTGTTTTCCCGAGAAATTTTGGTGTAGTCGATTTTTGGTAAAAAAGGAAGGTTATACACTGCCTTTTTTTGAGGCTCGAAAAAAAAATTGTCTCAGATCGTCGAAAAAAAACATTTTCTAAGAATGGGGCCTGTAGAATCCATAATTTCAAACAATTCCAAGATTGGGCTACTAGTTCAAAAGTTACAGCCCTTTTGAATTTTTTTTCGAAATTGGTTTCTAGTCTATAACTTTTGATTGAGAAGTCTGATCGAAAAAGTACGAATTGTTTTGGATTCTACGCACCAAAATTAATAAGAAAAAGTGTTTTCGCGAGAAATTTTGGTGCAGTCGATTTTTGGTAAAAAAGGAAGGTTATACACTGCCTTTTGTTGAGGCCCGAAGAAAAAATTGTCTGAGATCGACCCGGGAAAAAATTTTCTATAGAATGGGCCTGTAGAATCCATAATTTCAAACAGTTCCAAGATTGGGCTACTAGTTCAAAAGTTACAGCCCTTTGAATTTTCTTTCGAAATTGGTTTCTAGTCTATAACTTTTGATTGAGAAGTCTGATCGTAAAAGTACGAATTGTTTTGGATTCTACGCACCAAAATTAATAAGAAAAAGTGTTTTCACGAGAAATTTTGGTGTAGTCGATTTTTGGTAAAAAAGGAAGGTTATACACTGCCTTTTTTTGAGCCCCGAAAAAAAAATTGTCTCAGATGGACCCGGAAAAAAATGTTCTTATAGAATGTGGCCTGTAGAATCCATAATTTCAAACAGTTCCAAGATTGGGCTACTAGTTCAAAAGTTACAACCCTTTGAATTTTCTTTCGAAATTCGTTTCTAGTCCAATAACTTTTGATTGAGAAATCTGATCGAAAAAGTACGAATTGTTTTGGATTCTACGCACCAAAATTAATACGAAAAAGTGTTTTCCCGAGAAATTTTGGTGCAGTCGATTTTTGGTAAAAAGGAAGGTTTGTACACTGCCTTTTTTTGACGCTCGAAAAAAAAATTGTCTCAGATCGACACGGAAAAAAATTTTCTTATAGAATGTGGCCTGTAGAATCCATAATTTCAAACAGTTCCAAGATTGGGCTACTAGTTCAAAAGTTACAGCCCTTTGAATTTTTTTTTCGAAATTGGTTTCTAGTCTATAACTTTTGATTGAGAAGTCTGATCGAAAAAGTACGAATTGATTTGGATTATACGCACCCAAATTAATAAGAAAAAGTGTTTTCCCGAGAAATTTTGGTGTAGTCAATTTTTGGTAAAAAAGGAAGGTTATACACTGCCTTTTTTTGAGCCCCCGTAAAAAAATTGTCTCAGATCGACGCGGGAAAAAAATTTTCTTATAGAATGTGGCCTGTAGAATCCATAATTTCAAACAATTCCAAGATTGGGCTACTAGTTCAAAAGTTACAGCCCTTTGAATCTTCTTGCGAAATTGGTTTCTAGTCTATAACCTTTGATTGAGAAATCTAAACGAAAAAGTACGAGTTGTTTTGGATTCTACGCCCCAAAATTAATAAGAAGTGTTTTTCCGAGAAATTTTGGTGTAGTCGATTTTTGGTAAAAAAGGAAGGTTGTACACTGCCTTTTTTTTTGGCCCGAAAAAAAAATTGTCTCAGATCGACCCGGAAAAAAAAATTTCTTATAGAATGGGGCCTGTAGATTCCATAATTTCAAACAGTTCCAAGATTGGGCTACTGGTTCAAAAGTTACAGCCCTTTGAATCTTCTTCCGAAATTGGTTTCTATATATGTCTTCAGAATAAATATGTAAATTATACAGTTTGAGGACAATTCAGCATGATAAATACAAGATTTCTCACTTAGTTTAGAAAACAAGGTCAAGTAGGTAGTTTGAATGAATAATTGCTTCTCACAAAAATAGCTATTCAATTCGAGTACGTTGCACAGTCCCACCCTTCAAGAATTACCGTACGGAATGGACGATGAAAACGTAGCTTTGGAGTACCGAAAACATAAAGAGTTGCGCGAAGAGGACATACAAAGTTTGAAGGAATGGTACGCGAAGCAGGTCCATCTGCCGCCCATTTCAGGTTTGATCGATCGACGCAAGTGCCCGCGCTCATTTGATCCGCTCTTCCAGAGATGCACCTCATCGTTTTCCTGCACAGCTGCTACTGGAGCATCGAGAGTGCAAAGTCGACGCTAGAGCGATTTTTCACGTACAGAAACGCGTGGCCCGAGTTTTTCGCCGGCACGGATCCGCGAAGGCCGAAGATGCTGTCGGATATGGAAGTGGTGTAACTGCGAACGTATTAATCGCCGGAAAAGGGTACTTTATTGGGTTGTTTTAGGCTGTACGCGTTTCTTCCCAAAAGGACTCCGGAGAACTACAGGGTGTTCTATATCAAATTACTTGATCATGACCTCAGCAGGTACATCCTCAAGGACCAGCTGAAGATTATGGATATGGTCCTCGTAGTTGACATACTAAGGAGCGGCACCAGTGATGGTTTGGTAATCGTGTGCGATTTTGAGGATGCCACTGTAGGCCATGTTTTGAAGACACACGTAACCGAAGTGAAGAAGTTCCTAACTTACCTACAGGAGGCACTACCAGTGCGCCTCAAAGGTCTCTACTATACCAACTTGGGACCCATAGCTGACCTTTTGAAGGGATTAATTAAACCTTTAATCAACAAGAAACTTTTGGAATGTGTAAGTGTCCGATTTACAATCACCCCAGCTCACTCTCGCCTTTTCAGTTGCACTTTACCGACTCGTTTGAGGGCGTACTTAAATTCGTACCACAGGGGTGTTTTCCCAAAGAGTTTGGAGGAACCGCGCCTTCTATTTACGATCTTCACGGTATTGAGGCGAATTTTATCCCCTTGCTTTGTCAATCTCGTGATTTTTCAGTCGAAATGCAAGATTTGCTCTTAAGTAACGTGCAGTTCTTCATCGAATCGGAGAAGATGATCACGGATGAATCGAGTCGCGATAGAAGACCATCGTACATGGATCGGGATTTGGGGATTGGCGCGGTCGGATCGTTTAAACGACTGGAATTTGATTAGTTTATTTTGACGGTATATTAAATGGTGACCTTTGGTGGTGGTGTGGTATTTTTGCATTTAATCCGCAATACACATTACACAAGTAATTTTTTCAAGAGGATTGTCGTTTGAAACCTACATGGGCCCATAACCCCTACCCCTACATAAACATTCATATATATATATATATATTAATTATTATTATATATATATCGCCCTGACTTTGGTTTGATTCGTAGAGTGGGAATTAATCAATCGAATTAACGATTAAGGATGGCCGTTTACGTTAAGAATTCGCTATTCTGTAGGAGTTATTAGTTAAAATAAATGAAGAGGGAGATAGTAAGAAGACATTTTTTATTCATTCGTATTTGGGGGTGGAAGTGTTAATTGTACTATTTGTAAAACACTGACACTTTTTGAATGGGGTCCTTGAACTATCCCAAGAATTTCCTGGCATTTTTCAAACCCTTTTCTAAACAATTGAGCTCTCTATAAAGCCCTTCCGTAACACTAAATATACTTTTGAAAGATCTGCCAATACATCCCACACCTTCCTGCATATCTGTGACCCTGATACAATCGTCTCTGTACAAGAAAAATTTATATCAGAAGGAAATGATAGGATTGGTATTAAGAGAACATAATATCAAAAAAGGTAAGTATCTGAAAATAAATCAATGTCCCCCTACGACCGTGGTGAAATTTCCGCCAGTAGATCCATGATCTTGTCTTTCCTGATAAGATCATTGAATTGAATGAAACACTTGCACAATAGATATATAGTCATATTAGGCCGAATCTGGCTCAGTTCAAAGTCGCTCGCCACCTAGCGGTGACTTTGGAAATTAGGTCAAGGTAACAAAAGTTCAAAGGTTGCATGCCACATGGCAGTGATCTTGGAAAGTAGGTCAAGGTGGTGCTCACGGGCATTCGCTTTCAAGGTCAGGCAGTAGTGATATATACCGTTCAAGGCTAAGGTGAAGTTCAAAGGTCACTCTCTCCCCGTTCTCCTCTAGTAGTGACCTTGGACAGTAAGTCAAAATAGAGCTGAAAGATCTCTCGCCTCCAAAGGTTTTTGTTGGTTCTATTGTATTCTATCTACACGGGGTCCGACCAGGCAGCTCTTAGGCACACCAAAGGCCCATTGTGCCATACCTCCATTCTTTCGTAACTAGTTTCAGTGCCTGTTCAGTCCTTCGATCGCCATCTTTTAACTGCATTCTTAGACCTAGGAGATCCCTGAAACAGAAATCAGCAATTAATAGATAAGACTCGAATCGTCTATCCACATAAATGCAAGTCCTAGGATTTCGATGGCTCTGTAGAAGGTTACCTCGTCCCTCACTAACGTACTAGGTTCCCCCCTCCCCTAACGATGCCGCCTGTTCTGACCCTTTGTTGGAGCCAGTAGTAATCTCGACGTCCCTTCGAGGGATTCACCCCCCCCCTCCTGCCCTTCTCATCGCTTTTCAATGGAAGGAAATCTCGGAATTTTGAAAATTGGAAAACTGTTCCTTAATATCTAAGTTTCAAGAAAATAAAAAGTCCTTATGGGAGGGGGATGAGCTGGAGCTGTAGGTAAATTGAGCAATAAGATAAAAACATATATCAGAGTCAAACATAACAATTTATTTAAATAACATTCAAATATAACAGTAAACAATTGTAAATATATTCTCTAAAACTAAAACAACATGGAACACTTAGGACTTAACCCTTTTTAACTTTGGGGTCGTCTTTGAGCACGTCAAACTTTTCGGGGGCGTACTTTCGCAGCGTCCCGTCCAGCAAACGATCGATCAGATGATCTATGGGCTTAATAATGAATGGAATCATTGTCAGTCCAATCCCGGTTACTATCCACTTTTTCGTCGTCGACGGTAAAGTTCGATTGTACGTCAGGAGATAACCGGCGGCCGCACATGTTCGATTAATCGTAATGCCCGGCACGACGACGGAGGCGAGCATCTGCCACGCGAACGTGTCGAACGCGACGAAGCTCACCGTCTTCGGATCGCCGCGGTGCTGTATCTGAAAATTCGGTTGCATGATAACGCTTGAAGGAAAAGATGGGGGTTACGTGAGCATCTTTGGTCTTGCTGGCGGTGTCGGCTAGGACGTAGGTGGTGGCGACACCATAAGTGACCGCAACCCATTTCGGGCCGATCATGGAACGAAAGGCCTCACCGATTTCATTTGCATATCCTGTACTTTGGGGGGTTAATTGTAAGCGAATTTTACGTTTCTTACCTAAATAACGTATGGGGGTGTCTCGATAGATATCAATTTCTCCGGAATGAGACATTGGAAGGTTTTACAAGTTGAGGTTAGGTCCCAGGAAATTTTGAAGGTTAGGAGATAATGGTCGCATTCATCAAGTTTGTTTTTTTTCGGGAATGCAGTGGCAGTCCTACGTTTCGTTTACTTTACTTTATAAAGGGTGGCATTGTCCCTCGTACTTCTTAAGCCCGCTTGACATGGAGCAATAAAAATTGCAATTGCATGCAAGTTGCAAGAAAAATTGCGAAAGGCATGCGCAGTTCAAAGCCAGCTGATCAATTGCTGCAAGAAAGAGACTTGCATGCAATTTTTATAGGACCGGTGCTATTTTTCTTGCATGAATCGTGCAATTCTAGGGATAAATCTAGTTGTTTTTGTGGCACCAACCTAGAAAATACAGCGGCGGTAACTGTGATGCTGAGAGACGCACTCATTACTTGTTTTTACTAATCTTATTTATTCTTGTAATTTTCATGTTTCTTCAAGCAATCAAAATTTAATTTTCATTTGAGGTTAACTACTTTGTTGACAAATCCATATGTTTCTTCTGTTGGCAGACATGTGGCAATTGAAATAGAATTGCACCATGTCAAATACCATGCAATGCTTATTGCATGCAAGGATTTGACCTTGCAATTTCTTTCTGCAAGTTCTTGCGCGTAGTATTGCTCCATGTCAAGCGGCCTTTAAGCCCGCTTGACATGGAGCAATAAAAATTGCAATTGCATGCAAGTTGCAAGAAAAATTGCGAAAGGCATGCGCAGTTCAAAGCCAGCTGATCAATTGCTGCAAGAGACTTGCATGCAATCTTTATAGGACCGGTGCTATTTTTCTTGCATGAATCGTGCAATTCTAGGGATAAATCTAGTTGTTTTTGTGTCACCAACCTAGTAAAATACAGCGGCGGCAACTATGATGCTGAGAGACGCACTCATTACTTGTTTTTTTTAATCGTATTTATTCTTGTAATTTTCATGTTTCTTCAAGCAATCAAAATTTAATTTTTATTGGAGGTTAGCAACTTTGTTGACAAGTCCATATTTTTCTTCTGTTGGCAGACATGTGGCAATTGAAATAGAATTGCACCATGTCAAATACCATGCAATGCTATTGCATGCAAGGATTTGACCTTGCAATTTCTTTCTGCAAGTTCTTGCGCGTTGTATTGCTCCATGTCAAGCGGCCTTTAATACCATACAAATTGAGGGTTTTGTGTAAAATTGAAAAGCTTTTTGACCTTTCTTAAGACCCATTTCAAGTACATTTTAGAGCGGATCGAGCCTATCCAACTCACCCCTGGGTCCTTTGTCCAAATCTCAAATTACACCTTTCTATCATTCCCTAGGCTCATCAGTTTATCTGCTACTCCTCCCAGAAATTCATTGAGAGGTGCCTTAGATAAATTTCAAAAACAAAGATTGAAACACACAAAATGTATAACATGCGGCATATAAAACACAAATACGATTATAAAGAAATGCAAAAATTACTACCTGCATCTGTCAGCTGAACACATTCTATGTGGTTGCGAGGCTGCTGTCGAGCAAAGGCTAAATGACCTCGGGGAGACCGGGCAACTAGACTTCAGAGCAGTACTTAGCTTCTTCAATCGGATAAAACGAGTAACAGCAGTAGGTGCTAAAGAGATATAGTGCCTACCTTCACACAGAAAATAAAGCAATCGATCAAAATTGTCCCTAGCGTAGAACGTGTTCTAACCCGCCACTGGTGTGTGCCTGTGTTTGTGTTTTTTTTTAATGTAGGCAACACTGTAACAGCTGTCAGTCAAGGACGTTTTTGTTTTGGCGGTTGAAGTTGTGGACAATTAGGTTAGAATGCCTTAAAAAATGTATTTGGAAAATTTGAAAACGGAATTTTACGAATTTCTCACAGGAAAGGTACGTCCCACTTGCACTTTCCTTCCATTTCCCAACAATCGTCACTTTCAGCGAATCTGCCTCATCGTTAACTTCGACATCGACAGCATCTGTACCTGCAAAATCCTCCAGTCTCTGCTGAAGTACAAGCAAATCACTTACACCCTCGCCGTCGTCCAAGGTATCAGCGATCTTAAAGGTGTCTACCAGGAAAACGCCGATCAAGTGAAGTGCTTCGTCCTGATCAACTGCGGCGGCACGATCGATCTAATCGACGTTTTGGAGCCCGAAGACGACGTTATATTTTTCGTGCTCGACTCGCACAGGCCGACAGATCTTTGCAATATATACAGTAACGGGCAAATTCGGTTGCTGTGGAGTCCCGATGACGATAGCGATGTACCCGAGTTTCCAGACATCTTCCGCGAGGACGAGGTACGCCTTTTCACTAGCACTGCGACACGGAGGGGGGTTCACGTAATATATTTGTTTACAGTCGGACGAGGAGGACGACGAGGAGAATTTGGACGAGAGCGGCGACGAGGCGGAGGGCCGAGCCGCCAAACGAAGACGGCTGGGCGAGGAAGCCATAATGAAACGTCGTGAACGTAGGTTGTGGGAGGCGAATCGAGAGAAGATTCTCTTCGAGTATTCACAGTTCACTTACTACGCGAAAGCCGTGAGTGTGAGGGAGTGCCATTAGTCGCGATCTGTGCGGTTTGTGCTTTCAGAGCGCCCTCTACATGTTCGATTTGGCGTGGAAGCTGAACAAGGACGACAAGGACTTGCTGTGGTACACGATCGTCGCGCTAACCGAGCAGATGATCTTCGAGAAGATCGAGCACACGCAGTACGTATTGGAGACGGGCAATCTGCAGGCGCACGCCACCCGCCTGCTGAACAGGACAAGCGACACCGACAATTTGACCTCTCTGAAGATCGCGTTCGAGAAGGACCTGAAGCTGGTCTTGTACCGGCATTGGTCCATCGAGGCTAGTCTCAAGTATTCGATGTTCACCGCCGTCAAGTTAAAGCTGTGGTCCATTCGGGGCGATAAACGGTTGCACGAGTTGCTTGCGGATATGGGGTAAGTCTCTTCCTCTTTATTATGTTCTCCTAGTAGCACAACACCTTTTGCATAAGATTGTCGACAAGTAACAGGTGTAGTATTAGAAAAAGAAACACCTCCTCGCACTCATATGATCCTGATACAGAATTGGCAAATTTTTAAATCGAATGAAAGCTTTGAAATTATTCTGACAGAGATAGAAAAAGACCTCTTCATATATTATGTTCTCCTAGTAGCACGACACCTTTTGCATAGTTTTGTCGAAAAGTAACAGGTGTCGTATTAAAAACAGAAACACCTCCTCGCACTCATATGATCCTGATACAGAATTGGCAAATTTTTAAATCGAATGAAAGCTTTGAAATAATTCTGACAGAAATAGAAGTAGACCTCTTCGTATATTATGTTCTCCTAGTAGCACGACACCTTTTGCATTAGTTTGTCGACAAGTAACAGGTGTAGTATTAGGTAAAGAAACACCTCCTCGCACTCATACGATCCTGATACAGAATTCGCAAGTTTTTAAATCGAATGAAGGCTTTGAAATAATTCTGACAGAGCTAGAAAAAGACCTCTTCGTATATTATGTTCTCCTAGTAGCACGACACCTTTTGCATAGTTTTGTCGAAAAGTAACAGGTGTAGTATTAGGAAAGGAAACACCTCCTCGCACTCATATGATCCTGATACAGAATTGGCAAATTTTTAAATCGAATGAAAGCTTTGAAATAATTCTGACAGAGTTAGAAAAAGACCTCTTCGTATATTATGTTCTCCTAGTAGCACGACACCTTTTACATAGTTTTGTCCAAAAGTAACAGGTGTAGTATTAAGAAAAGAAACACCTCCTCGCACTCATATGATCCTGATACAGAATTGGCAAATTTTTAAATCGAATGAAAGCTTTGAAATAATTCTGACAGAGATAGACAAAGACCTCTTCGTATATTATGTTCTCCTAGTAGCGCGACACCTTTTGCATAGTTTTGTCGAAAAGTAGCAGGTGTAGTATTAAGAAAAGATACACCTCCTCGCACTCATATGATCCTGATACAGAATTGACAAATTTTTAAAACGAATGAAAGCTTTGAAACAATTCTGACAGAGCTAGAAAAATACCTCTTCACATATTATGTTCTCCTACTAGCACGACACCTTTTGCATAGTTTTGTCGAAAAGTACCAGGTGTAGTATTAGGAAAAGAAACACCTCCTCGCACTCATATGATCCTGATACAGAATTGGCAAATTTTTAAATCGAATGAAAGCTTTGAGATAATTCTGACAGAGCTAGAAAAAGACCTCTTCGTATATTATGTTCTCCTAGTAGCACGACACCTTTTGCATAGTTTTGTCGAAAAGTAACAGGTGTAGTATTAAAAACAGAAACACCTCCTCGCACTCATATGATCCTGATACAGAATTGGCAAATTTTTAAATCGAATGAAAGCTTTGAAATAATTCTGACAGAGATAGAAAAGACCTCTTCGTATATTATGTTCTCCTAGTAGCACGACACCTTTTGCATAGTTTTGTCGAAAAGTAACAGGTGTAGTATTAAGAGAAGAAACACCTCCTCGCACTCATATGATCCTGATACAGAATTGGCAAATGTTTAAATCGAATGAAAGCTTTGAAATAATTCTGACAGAGTTAGAAAAAGACCTCTTCGTATATTATGTTCTCCTAGTAGCACGACACCTTTTGCATAAGTTAGTCGACAAGTAACAGGTGTAGTATTAGGAAAAGAAAGACCTCCTCGCCCTCATATGATCCTGATACAGAAATGGCAAACTTTAAATCGAATGAAAGCTTTGAAATAATTCTGACAGAGATAGAAAAAGACCTCTTCATATATTATGTTCTCCTAGTAGCACGACACCTTTTGCATAGTTTTGTCCAAAAGTAACAGGTGTAGTATTAAGAAAAGAAACACCTCCTCGCACTCATATGATCCTGATACAGAATTGGCAAATTTTTAAATCGAATGAAAGCTTTGAAATAATTCTGACAGAGATAGAAAAAGACCTCTTCGTATATTATGTTCTCCTAGTAGCACGACACCTTTTGCATTAGTTTGTCGACAAGTAACAGGTGTAGTATTAGGTAAAGAAACACCTCCTCGCACTCATATGATCCTGATACAGAATTGGCAAGTTTTTAAATCGAATGAAGGCTTTGAAATAATTCTGACAGAGCTAGAAAAAGACCTCTTCGTATATTATGCTCTCCTAGTAGCACGACACCTTTTGCATAGTTTTGTCGAAAAGTAACAGGTGTAGTATTAAGAAAAGATACACCTCCTCGCACTCATATGATCCTGATACAGAATTGGCAAATTTTTAAATCGAATGAAAGCTTTGAAATAATTCTGACAGAGATAGAAAAAGACCTCTTCGTATATTATGTTCTCCTAGTAGCACGACACCTTTTGCATAAGTTTGTCGACAAGTAACAGGTGTAGTATTAGGAAAAGAAACACCTCCTCGCACTCATATGATCCTGATACAGAATTGGCAAATTTTTAAATCGAATGAAAGCTTTGAAATAATTCTGACAGAGATAGAAAAAGACCTCTTCATATATTATGTTCTCCTAGTAGCACGACACCTTTTGCATAGTTTTGTCGAAAAGTAACAGGTGTAGTATTAAGAAAAGAAACACCTCCTCGCCCTCATAAGATCCTGATACAGAAATGGCAAACTTTAAATCGAATGAAAGCTTTGAAATAGTTCTGACAGAGTTAGAAAAAGACCTCTTCATATATTATATTCTCCTAGTAGCACGACACCTTTTACATAGTTTTGTCCAAAAGTAACAGGTGTAGTATTAAGAAAAGAAACCCCTCCTCGCACTCATATGATCCTGATACAGAATTGGCAAGTTTTTAAATCGAATGAAGGCTTTGAAATAATTCTGACAGAGCTAGAAAAAGACCTCCTCGCATATTATGTTCTCCTAGTAGCACGACAACTTTTGCATAAGTTTTGTCGACAAGTAACAGGTGTAGTATTAGGAAAAGAAACACCTCCTCGCACTCATATGGTCCTGATACAGAATTGGCAAATTTTTAAATCGAATGAAAGTTTTGAAATAATTCTGACAGAGCTAGAAAAAAGCCTCTTCGGATATTATGTTCTCCTAATAGCACGACAACCTTTGCATTAGTTTGTCGACAAGTAACAGGTGTAGTATTAGGTAAAGAAACACCTCCTCGCACTCATATGATCCTGATACAGAATTGGCAAGTTTTTAAATCGAATGAAGGCTTTGAAATAATTCTGACAGAGATAGAAAAAGACCTCTTCGTATATTATGTTCTCCTAGTAGCACGACACCTTTTGCATAAGTTTATCGACAAGTAACAGGTGTAGTATTAGGAAAAGAAACCCCTCCTCGCACTCATATGATCCTGATACAGAATTGGCAAATTTTTAAATCGAATGAAAGCTTTGAAATAATTCTGACAGAGATAGAAATATACCTCTTCGTATATTATGTTCTCCTAGTAGCACGACACCTTTTGCATTAGTTTGTCGACAAGTAACAGGTGTAGTATTAGGTAAAGAAACACCTCCTCGCACTCATATGATCCTGATACAGAATTGGCAAATTTTTAAATCGAATGAAAGTTTTGAAATAATTCTGACAGAGCTAGAAAAAAGCCTCTTCGGATATTATGTTCTCCTAATAGCACGACACCCTTTGCATTAGTTTGTCGACAAGTAACAGGTGTAGTATTCGGTAAAGAAACACCTCCTCGCACTCATATGATCCTGATACAGAATTGGCAAGTTTTTAAATCGAATGAAGGCTTTGAAATAATTCTGACAGAGCTAGAAAAAGACCTCTTCGCATATTATGTTCTCCTAGTAGCACGACAACTTTTGCATAGTTTTGTCGAAAAGTAACAGGTGTAGTATTAAGAAAAGAAACACCTCCTCGCACTCATATGGTCCTGATACAGAATTGGCAAATTTTTAAATCGAATGAAAGTTTTGAAATAATTCTGACAGAGCTAGAAAAAAGCCTCTTCGGATATTATGTTCTCCTAATAGCACGACACCCTTTGCATTAGTTTGTCGACAAGTAACAGGTGTAGTATTAGGTAAAGAAACACCTCCTCGCACTCATATGATCCTGATACAGAATTGGCAAGTTTTTAAATCGAATGAAGGCTTTGAAATAATTCTGACAGAGCTAGAAAAAGACCTCTTCGTATATTATGTTCTCCTAGTAGCACGACACCTTTTGCATAGTTTTGTCGAAAAGTAACAGGTGTAGTATTAAGAAAAGAAACACCTCCTCGCACTCATATGATCCTGATACAGAATTGGCAAGTTTTTAAATCGAATGAAGGCTTTGAAATAATTCTGACAGAGCTAGAAAATGACCTCTTCGCATATTATGTTCTCCTAGTAGCACGACAACTTTTGCATAAGTTTTGTCGACAAGTAACAGGTGTAGTATTACGAAAAGAAACACCTCCTCGCACTCATATGGTCCTGATACAGAATTGGCAAATTTTTAAATCGAATGAAAGTTTTGAAATAATTCTGACAGAGCTAGAAAAAAGCCTCTTCGGATATTATGTTCTCCTAATACCACGACACCCTTTGCATTAGTTTGTCGACAAGTAACAGGTGTAGTAATATATAGCCGCTACGAAATCTCACTAGATGAAAATCCCTAGAAAAGTCACTAGAATTGAGTGGTTCTGAACTGTGGTAGCGAGGTTTGCGCTTGTGCTAACGTCAAGGTCAAGGGGTTGAGGTTTGTGCTCAAGATAAAGTATCAGAGGTTTGCGTCCGAGCTAAAGTAAGTCGGTTTGTGCCTGACGGTTCTTGTCGATGGTAGTGTACGGCCGATTCTAAATCTCACTAGATGAAAATCCCCTAGAAAAGGCACTAGAATTGAGTGGTTCTGAACTGTGCTAGCGAGGTTTGCGCCTGTGCTAACGTCAAGGTCAAGGGGTTGAGGTTTGTGCTCAAGATAAAGTATCAGAGGTTTGCGTCCGAGCTAAAGTAAGTCGGTTTGTGCCTGACGGTTC